TGAACTTAAAGCATTAAAAGATGAAGACTGAATCTGGTAAGCAAACCAATGAACAAAGGAAGAGGAAGATTTAAACTGAAAAATTCTCCGAACTAACAGATATAATCATATAAAAAATAAAGCGCAATAAAATCCGCTCCAAAAGTGAACCCTTCGGCACTATTCATGACATGACATGCCCTGGCTATGGATGGCTGCTCCCTAGAGGAACATCATATGAAGTCTGGTAGGATTTACAGGGTAATCATCACACTCTTCTCAAATAAATTTTATTAGAGAAAGTCAAGGTTGTTTTAAAAAAAAATTTCTTGGTAAAAGTTTAAAAAAAAATTTGTTTACCTTATTGGAATTTTTATTAATTAATTTATGTTTTGGATCTATTTCGATGCATCAATTTAGATATGTTTGGTAATTATTTTAAATAGTTACAAAACTAAAAATCTTAGGTAACAATTGAGGCTGAAAATTGATAAATTATTAAATTAAAAAGTGAGAATAGGAGAGGAAAAGAAGACCAAAAAATCTTATGTTTGGTCATTTAGAAGACAAATTGCTGAAAAATCTTCAGACACCAACTATATGTTGGGTATATCGTTATTGATATATATATAGGGGAGTCAAAGAATAATGTTGCAGGAACCAAAAAAATGACCCTGCAGACACATTTAAAGAGGTGAAAGAAAGTGAATGATGAAAGAGAAACCAAAACATGCGGGCCCATCCTTTGAATGTATCTACAGGACCATTTTTTTATTCCTTTAACATTATTCTTCTTTTCCCCATATATGTATTTCATTTTCAGTACTTGAATTGAGTAGATATGTGGATCTTACTTCTTCATCTCCTTGCTTTCACTTTAACCTCACTAAAATTAATTGGGCTTTATTATTATTTATGGATGCAATATACTACAGAGGCATGTAAGATACGATAATTGTTGGTCCCGAATGAACTCGGGAGAGGGGTGAATTGAGTTTATAGAAAATTTATCAATTTAAAAACACACAACTTCGATAAAATAAAGAGTAAAGGGAACAAGCAACACAATTATTTTAACGTGGAAAAAACGAAAAACTTCAACTGGAGAAAAAAAAACCACAACCCCAACTTGGATACCTCTATCCAATTAGGAGATAAATCCACTATCGATCAATTCAAAGTACAAGAATAGACCATATTCTACCCTTATACTGAATTAACCTGAAACCTTACCCAAGGTTTCTGGAACCCTACCCTTAGGATTCTCACGAAATCTAATCAAAGACTCTTTGAAGCCAAACGGCTCTCGCCTTTATTCGTAAGTAACAAAGCCTGACTTATTTCTAAGCCACGACCTTTTCTAAGATCAAGAAGAAAATCCAATTCAAATTGGTTACTTTATTGCTTCTAAATAATAAGCAAATTGGTACAAATAAAACCTAAGTGGTGACTCAATGAATCTGCTCATGCCTTTGGTTCCCAAATTATTTTGAATGCGCCTTAAGAACACATAATATGCTCAATGCGCTTTTTCTCTTGAATACTTTTCCGATCGTGTGCGTGTTTGCCTAGTGATCGTGCGTTGCAAGTTGCATATAAACCCCATGCACTACTTAAACATGCTCACCACGTGACTTGAATATGCACACCCACCGAATGGGACTTATGGATAATAGGCCTCCAATGGCTCGCGCTGCATGTCGCGTATAAATGCTAATAGGCTAAAAAAATGTAGCTTTTAACTAATATTATTAAATTTAATAAATTTTATATTAAAATTTTAAATAAATCTATCAATGGGAAATTTTTTTGTCGTTGATGAAAAAAAACCGGCATTTTTAACTATTATTTGTTGCCAAATGATAGTTAAAAATGCTTAATTAAATGTCTTTAAATTATTATTTTGTACGTTGAATAATATTAAATTTCATTTGTATAAATAAATATATGGATATTTTAACCTTGCAAACCCTAAGCTCACTTTCACATTCCAAATCCTTCCCACTAAATCTTTCGCATTATAAACCCTAACGCTTCCAGAAATGTAATTGACCACTCAATATAACCTGTTCCACAAATTCAAAAGAGTAAACATCAGGAACAATTCAGACCTGATGAAACAGTGGAACATTCAGGACCACCTTTATCTACTCCCGGAATATCAAAGACGGCTGCAAATACAAATCGTCCCACATTTGAATCATTAATCATATGTTATTTCGTAATGTGTATGGAGATTTAGCATTTTCGATAGTACGTTTAGTCAAAAATGTTTTCAATACAGTGGAATATATAAATATAGAGAAATATAAAAATCATAATGTAGGATGAGAGATTTGTCTCGCTAATGTGTTATTACTATGTACTCTGTTGTAGAGTACATAGTTATAATATTAAATTATTATTTTTCTCTTTTTTAAGTCACTTTCAGATTCTGGTGGCTGACGTAAAGAGGAAAAAAAATAAATTTAATATTATAACTAGGAGAAGAATATTGTGATAACCAAGTTGTGTTACTACCAAGTGACTACCAATCAATCTCACCGTTAGATCGATTATATTGATCCAACGGTTATATTTATTTCCATCTTTGTATCGTCATGATTCCCCATATTTAAAGTGAAAGCATTAAATATGGGAAATCATAACCATACAAAGGTGAAAATAAATATAAAGTATCAAATTTGGGAAATCATGACCATACAAAGATGGAAATAAATATAACCGTTGGATCAATATAATCGATCTAACGGTAAGATTGATTGGTAGTCACTTGGTAGTAACACAACTTAGTTGTCACAATATCCTTCCCCTTATAACTATGTATTCATAGTTATAATAACGTTCGTGGAAAGAAAAAAAAGATTAATTTTTAATATTATAAATAAGGAAAGAATTCATTTATAAATTTTTGCAAATTACCAATGTTATTAAAACCAACCCGGTCATTGACCAGGTCGAGGTACTGGGTCACTGGTTCTACCAGTAGGTCACTGGTTCAATCGCATGACCCGATAATTATATGTAATTTTATAATTTATATTAAAAAATTATAAACATACTCAAATATCTAAAAAAATGATAAAAATTTCAAATATTTTAATATAAAAAATAATAAATCACATATTATTATCCAATAAAGGATCAAAAAAAAATATAATGATCATGATACGGGGCTTTAGGTTTAAAATCGACATCTCTAACTATAAATCAAATTTTTTTGGATAGTGCATAATTGAGATAATATTAATGTTGTAGGTACATAACTTATGTAAGTCAATAAGTAAAAAAATATTCAAATATATCCATTATGATTTTTATTTTTGAAAAAATAAATAATTTGAATTTTTTTTTATTTTTTGGGACCGAGCCGGGTCACCGATTTTCATGAAAACCGGTCAGGTCAGATAGGGTCACACCGGTTCTGATGCATGGCCGGTCCGTTGCTTCAACTGGACCGGTTATATGACCGGTTCCCGGGTCGACCCGGCCGGGTCGGTCCGATTTTAATAATACTGCAAATTACACTATGTACTCCCGGAAGTACATAGTGTAACTTAGTGTGCTTTCGAGAATAGATAATATAATTTATAAAAGTTTGTAAACAAAAAATTTATAAATATAACTCTCCTCTTATAACTATAATAACTATATACTAGTCGAAATACATAATTATAATACATTTGCAATACAAATCTCTCATCATCCTGTGACACAGCCACACAGGACATCCGCAGCTCCCATAAAAACGTATCTTGTAAATCCCTGAATTTGGTATAAAAATATAGTTGGAAAGTCACCTCCGTATCAATTAAAACACAATGTTATGAAAATATCTTAAAAGTTCACTAGCGAGCTCCTTTAGCAGAAGCTTCTTTCACAAAAACGTCATTGGTCGTTTTAAAGTTAAAGTGCGCTACCCCTTATCTTATCATCATTCATAATTTATGGTCATGTCCCGCGGCGTGAGTTGATTGTTGATTGTTGATTGTGTAAAGGCTATATAAAAAGGTTGAATATATATTCGTACTGTCAAAACAAATCAATAAATAACGGTTTGATTTGCCATTCATTTATTTATTTATAAATGGTGGGGATTATATAAGATTACAAATTTACAACTATCATATCCTTTTTGTTTATAATATAACAGTAAAAGCTAAATTTTGGGGAAGTGTGTTGTTGGCTGCGTCATTCCAATAGCAATAAAGCCATAATTTAGGGATGTGTGTTAAAAAATTTCAACTTAAATTGTGTGGAAGTTTGTTTAGGTGCAAGCGGGGCCTGTGAATAACAATTAGCTATGTTGTTCACGGGAACTTAATTGGTTATGGTTCTTAGATCAATTACTTTGTAATATAAAAAATAATGCATCTTTTGAATGAATAATAAATTAACAACTCGTCGCAATCAATTTCTTGGTAACAATTTTATAAGTTTCAACTCAATCATTATGTTTTCCAATTATATTTCAATTTAGATTTTCCTTAGCCTTGGATGCTTAATGGAAATAGAACATCTTAGCACGTTAATTGTCCTCTACATCTCTCAAATTAGGCAACCACGAGGTTAATGTGGTATGAAATTCCCAACAAAATTAAATAAAAAACTGTTAAGCAAGAATCGAATTTTATTTAACAAATGATGATAGTTCAATTAGCACCAGAAAATTGAGTGCAGGTAGGGATGAGAGCATGCGTTTAATCTTCCTTAGTATTGTCTTTGATAAGAGTTTAAAGTCTTAATCTCAGGACAGCGATGAAACTAGATTGAAATATCTTAAAGAAAAAAAAAAATTGAATTCTTTCTGTAGTTTTAAAACAGAATGTACGTCTGCTATTTTAATAACTTTCTAAACAGCATTTTTCACTTTTGACATAAGGTACAATAGTTGACAATATATATATGGCATGGTTGAAACTAGTAAGAATCTATGACAAGAATACATTCATGTATTCTTCTCCATCATAATCGACTTTGACACAACAAAGTGTAAATAAAAATAAACTTTGATTACTTTATTACATGATGGAACATGCATTTACATTGTCGTCACTAAAAAGTGAGACAAAATTCTCTTCAGGGGCATTGGATGAGACAGGAAATGCCTGCACAACATTTCTAACAAATCCAGTGGGTGCTCTTATGTCATAGGCTCCGGAGGCATAAGGATAGTACACCAGATGCTGTTCAACATAAGGCCAAAATTTAGCTCTTACTTTCCCAGTGCTCCTTACCCTCTTTAACACCTTGTTTGCATCAACATAACCGCTTACTATCACCCTGCTTTGCTTTCTGTTTACCTCCACAGATTTCACTCCTACACAATAGGCAAACTATGGATCAAAATTAAGGTGGTTTTGTAGGTTATTTCGTATGTCCTTAGTTGTTTGCTTTCCTTTTTTTAGATTTCTTATAAACTAATGCTATATCAGAAGCTGACATATTAAGTGGATCCATATAATTTACCTTTGATCAAATACAACATACGAATATATATATATATATATATATATATATATATATATATATATAGAAGTCTAGCTTGTAGCTTCCAAACAAAGTAGAATTAAATTAAAAACAAGAATATAGGAATGTTAACTAATCAGCATCCGAGAAAATGAAACACTTCAATAAATAATGTTGTGAGTCTTGAAGTTTACTTCATCTTTAATGATCAGATTTCAATAACCGTAGCAATTAATTTGCTATAAATGAGAAAAAAAATGAAAATCTATCATTTTTTTTCTTCCTTTGTCTTTTCATTTTTCCTTATTTTATAATTGAATAATTTGCTTTTCCCTTTGGTATTGAAATATATATAGTTTGAGACTATAATGACTTTGGCCCCCTAAAGAAAGTGTCATGTTACTTTATATTTTCTCTCATATAGAGATCTGTATTCCTCTTCACCCTCTATAGGTCGAAAATAACTCATCAAAGAACAAAAATAAAATGCTCTATGGTTCTTTCATAGAACAAGTTACAAGAGAAAGTTAAGCTACACAGCAGGAAGGGAACCTTTTAATGAAGTCACTGCATTTTTTACTCTTCTTTCACAACCATCACAATCCATTCTGACTTTGATCTCAACTGTCTGAAATATTGAAGGGCAAAGCATGTGAGGAATGAATGATATAATATAGTAGAGGAATGAAACTACAATAAAATTAGAGCAGGAAGGTAGCACTGTACAAAAAAGAAAGAAAGAAAGAAAAAAGTGATGGCAAGAAGGAAGTACAAAGGAAGGCTTTGATAGCTGTGCTAATAATTTCTTACCTGCATTGGTTTGTGCTTGGTCCTAATGCTGGTTACAGTGCAAAAGTTGGAGAGGTAATCAAGTGCACCCATTTTGCTTCTCTTTTTCAGAAAGCTAAGGTAGGGAGAGAGTGAGAGAATGAGATAGATGAATGGTGTTTTTATAGAAGGCTCAAAAAGATTGATGAGGAGGACTAAGGTGCAAAAGCAGTTCCTAGAAAATTATATTTTGAAACCACAATTATTGATGGGGTCATATCCTCCTAATTAAAGCTCAGTAAGTGATCCAGATAATGATAGACCTCTCTATCTGTGCCATATTTTATAGACAATTGTTTTTCAAATATATATAAAATTTTGAAAAAATAATAATAATTTTTTTGCTGTCTTTAGTTTTTGTTCCATGAGTATGGCTTACTTTTCCACAATTCACTAATAAAATACTCCAATAATGGCTTTCATTATATTATTATATGCACTGTTTGATACATTAGATTGAACTGTTCAAATATCCCTCTTGAAACTAAAAAAGAAAAAAGAAAAGAAACATAAAGTGCTAAGATATTTTAGTTTTGCAGCTGGCTAGTTCACGTGAGCTAGTTTACTGTGTATGCAGCTAATAATATGCCTTTCTGTTCTGATTAAAATTATATCATTCGTGATTAAAGAATTTATACGAAAAATTCCAATTAAGACAGTTTCAGATTATTTACCTTAACATTGATAGTACATGAAAAACCTACGTAAAAATTTAAAATTTTTGTTAAACGTAAGATGTACACAAATTAATGTCTCAAATACCTAGACAACCTCTTGTTCCACCATGGTGTTAGCATTCTACTTTCAAGAGTTATATAACATCATGTGCATAACTAATTAAATGAGTTCAAAAGGAAAGGGGAAGTCACATGAACTCATAAAACAACTTGTAACTCCATTTAAATTCAATTAACCCTACTTGAACTTTCCAACTAAACTGCAGGGGGTCATTTGCGGATATAAGTAGATCTGAGTGGAAGTGCTAATGAACTATTAATTCACATAACGTTGACTATGATTTTTCATGATTGTCTACTTGATGTGGTGGGTTTGATTAAAAGTCTGTTTCTTTTTCCTTCCCGGTTTATTAGGTTTGAAAAAAATTATTAAAGAAAAACATAAATGTGTAAGTATTCTACATAGCCAAGTGCGGGCATTATTCAATTCCGAAAGAGATAAAAATTGGTTTTTAAAGTATATCAAATAAATAGAAAGAAAAACAAGAGCGGCGCCCCGGCGGGGCAGAACAAGTTGAAATAATTATCAATATGATTGAATACTTTCGGTAAGCATTATAGTTGATAAATGAACACTGATCCAATACCAATCTCAATCCAAAGGCACAATAATTGACCCAATTTGTAATGCTCTCTTGCCTACCTGATGTGTAAAGTCCTTCTCTCTTTAGTGCCATTATATATATATATATATATAAGAGAACTAATCAACTGATCCACTCCACAATCAGAACTCATTGTTGACTTTTTTGGTCATTGATTTTTCTTCTTTGGCATTTCGGGGTAGATATTCATATATCCTAGGAAAACATATTACAAGTTACAACGATACTTGTTTGCAGTGGGCATTTAGTAGGTGTTAAAGTGGGAGGAACAGAAGAAATAAGAATGATAGAGTAACAAATTCACACACACACATGGGAATCACGTAAATGGTGTAGATGATACGAAGTATAAAGATATGCTTGTTTGAGAAGCTGTTTTCCTAAAGATAATTGCAAAAGTTGATAGTTGAACATGAATCGTACAAAATAAACGAAGAAAATAAAAATTTGAATCAAATCAAAATAAAAAGAATCGGTTGCCTAAACAGCCGAAACATAAATTAAAATATGCCTTTCTATTTGATAAACAACCTCTCATAATTTCTTCAGCTTCTGCCCCCGCAACCCATTCCAGAAAGCAGCCGCATTTACAACCTTTTTGCCTGGAAGCTGAACTTCCAATACCTGACAGTTTTACATCATCAATGAATTTAGAAAGGCATACTGATTTGCATGAATACTGGTCTCACTAATTTGTGTAAAACATGTTCTTTTTCAGTTTAAGAAGCACATTAACAGTATCTTTGAAAGCAAGTCATTTTCATTAACCTGCTAGACTATATCTCATAAAATTTTCATATAATTACAAATTTAGGAGAGATTCAGCATTTTCGAAGTCCAAAATGCATTTTGAATAAAATGAACGCACACAATTTGGATCCCCAAAGACACTGCCTCTTCATCCAACACCATTTGTTTTCAAAAAAATAACATTTTTTATTAGTTTCAAGATGGAACACATTTAGAGAGTTTCGAAAAGCACCTCGACAAAAGGAGAAAACAAGAGGCATGGCCATTTTTTAATGGAAGCTAATGCATGAATTACATTAAATAGTGATTTTCAATAAAAGAAAGACGTTAGTTAAGTCAGTGGCAACTTAAGCTTAAGGGAACAAATGACAGTAATGAATTTCAAATGCAACTTTTCAAACAAGTGTCATGTTTTGGCTTTAAATAATTGTTTACCAGTGATTTTTTAAAAGAAAATGAACAACTTCTTATATATAGTCTGAATCTGAAGCAGTTCCTTGGAAACAATTATTTTTGGAATTAACATGAAAAAATCCAATTGTCTCCAATTCCCATTTCTAACTTGGGGTGAAACCTTTTTCTTTTCTTTTTTTAAATTCTCCTTGTTGTCTAAATAGTTTTGAAACAAAAAAGCAACTAATGTATCTCCAAAAAAAAAAAACAACTAATAATGTGATTGATAAATTTATTCTCAAAACAATCTTTGTTTAGGGGAAAAACGAGAAAATTGCAGCTTAACAAGATCTCTGCACTGGAAGAGTCACTACCCAAATTGTTAAGATTAACTGAAACTGGAGAATCAAAGCTATATAAGATTAAGCATGAGCTGCCCAGAGACAATGAAAAATAAAAACAAATTTGACAGTTTAGAATATCAATTGTGGGAGCAATTCTCTGTTGTGCTTCTTAATATACATTGATTTGAATATATCCAAATTTGCTTCTGGTTTCTTCGGGTTTTTTTTTTTTTTTTTTGGGAGGGGGGTTATAGGATTTGGCTTGTTATTCATATTACAACTTAAACCTGTGACCTCTACCCAAAACCACCTGCCTACGTAGTGCAAACATGATTTAGCTCAGCAACGACAATAGAAACTTCAACATTGATTTGAAAACTAAATATACCTCAAGTGTGGTGCCCCTTCCACATGGAAAGGCCAATGCTCCCTCAACAAATGTAATATCATCGCCTTCATTGGACTGCACACTTTCATGACTGCGAACTCGTGTGGTTATAATTTTAATCTCCAAAGTTTTCTGCTGACCGTTGTTCTCAACTACCAAAACTTTTGCTCTAGTTCCTGGCCATCCTGAAAAAGCACGAACCTAAAATTGTTTTATGTCACAACTACACAGTTTAGATAAGATCATGAATTTTACCTTATTATGTAGAACATATGCTTCTTGATCAAAGAATAGCCATGATTCGTCTGGACTTATCTGCATAAAATAGCAAAACAAAAATATGAGCAACTCCTTGTAAGGAAGATATTTTACCAACTGTATGTGCTGGAGTTTCTTTCCTTTTTCTTTTGTGGATAACTGGATATACACTGGAATGAACAGAAAGGCATATAACACAATTTCTCCCCAATGTAATATTTGACACTTTCAAGTTTTTTTATAAAATTGAAGCAAACTGCTGACTGAAATTATGTAAAAAAAAATAGTATGAAACCCCATTTCTTTTCAATAGGAGCTTCAGATGTAGAAAGCTATCAGAACCAAAAGAGAAACAGAAAATTCTCTGCAATTGATGCAAGACCCTGTAAGTTTATTTCTTAGTTACATGCTTCTTATAGACAACTGGCTTCTTGGGTTAGGTGAAAGTTCACATATCACGTTTTGGAAGGAAATTTAAGTGGGGAATATTCATTTTAGAGGTTGATGCTAGCCTCTGTGTCCATTACTCTACTTTTTAAGCATAATTCACACATCCAGAAGCTTTTACTCTCTTCACCTATTCAAGGTCACAATATCTTGAATTTATAAATTCACACAAACAAAGTGATAGAGAAGCTAGTGAGTGACTCAGATCAGCTCATCTGTCCTCCAAACTAGAGAGGGAAATTTGGAGTTTGGATCCTTTTGGTTTGTTTTCTTGTGTCCAGCGTTCAATCTTTAACTCCTCCAATTAATCATCACAGAAATTCAAAACAACCTGTACAGTCAAGTCTTTAATTCGGACAGTGGAGCACAATAAGATCAATAGAAATGACATTGAACATTTTGCATAGTTGTAGACCTCATACTGTTCTTTCACCTAATATGTGTGTTATGAGCAGGTTGATCAGAAACAGTAGCCCACTTATTTTTTTGCATTGTGAGTTTTCTTTTTTAAATGAGACCACAATGTGTCCCCACAGCCCGGCAGCATATAATTTGTTCGGGGCTCTTGGTGAACACTACATGTGCCCCTCACCTTGGAGAATCCCAATTTATAAGTTTTGTCAGGAATATGGAGGCTAAAATTAAGGCAATGTGTGATTTATGCAATTCTTTGCCGTTACATTTGATATAGGAAAAAGTTGTGTTAATGGAGTCTCTCTTTTGAATTTTGATAATTGTTTCAAGGGAATTTATATTACTGAGATGCAAAGAGATTGAACAGCCTTGTTTCATTTTTTAGCCCTCAATTTGTTGCCAGAAATACAAAAGATTCGTAAAAGTATATCTGCAAGGTCAACTTTAACCAGTCTAAAAAGTAACATTGGGAAAAAAAATGGAGCATCTGATATATATTGAACTAATTACTAATATCAATAGGAAAACTCGTTTCTATTCCAGCTCCCAAGTAATATAATCAAAACTAAAACTACCTTAGGAGCCAATGTAACCTTAGAGTCATCTTGAGGTTGTGCTTTCACTCTCGCTGATCCATCAAATATAGAAGGAAGTTCTGCAATCAGGAGTTCGGATCCTGCATATTCAAATAAAGATAGGAACCCACTCAGTAACCAAAATATTCTATTAGAATGTCTGGATAAGAATAGCTCAGTACAACACCAGAAGAAAAGTAACATAGGAATACAAAATATAAGTGACATTTATGAAGAGAAGAATCATACCTTTATGAAACAGGAGCTCAAGCAAATCAGGTGCCTATATAGATATCTAAAGATTTGTCAGAAGCAGGGAGAAAACTGTCTTGTAAGTTTAACCAAACAAGTTCAAAGAGTTATGGATTGCAAGTCCCACAATGACTGAGCAAGACATGCCAGGTACAAATTGGAAAAAAATGCGTGTTTGGTTTCAAAAGGTAAAAATAGCAATAAAATAGACATGAGACGTCCCTCTTGGCGGAAATAAATAAAGTCACTGATGGAAGATATAAAGATGGTACATAAAATCAAATATATGTTCTGATTACAAACCTAAGATATTAGTACAATCAAAGGAGCGTATAACCCTTGATATAAGATGCACCAGTATTACTCATTCAAACCAACTGTTGAAAGATTCCAAATTAGGTTTCCAACAAGGGCTAAAGACAAATATATGAGATGAGCATTAATCTTTTTATAGATAAAGCAAAAAGCTCATGATGGACTCACATTAGCACCTTTTGCAGCAAACAGAGACAACAGAAAATCATACCTTCATTTGATGATCAACTTCAACTGTTTCACTAGCAATGACAGGTCCAGCATCCAGCGCACGAACAGTGAATGCTAACGATACTCCAGTTTCTTTAACACCATCCTAGTATACAAATCAATACATACAACCAAAAATAACTTTATGAAATAAAAGCTGTAAAAGCATACAGAATTTAGAGATTGAAAACAATTGACACCAAGAAGCAGGAAAAAACCTGCAATGCTCTTTGAACAGGAGCAGCCCCACGATACATTGGCAACAAGCTAGGGTGAATATTGACTGTCCCTGAGAGATTTGCATGTGGAATTTAGAATTTGGTGTTAGAGCAATATGTTTAACTATTAATTATATGAGACTTAAGAATTTTAAATGTGAAGCAACTCTCTCTCTCTCTCTCTCTCTCTCTCTCTCTCTCTCTCTCTGTCTGTCTGGAGTCGGATTAAGTAATGAGAGAGAAGAAATAAGAAAATGTAAAATTCCAACGAGGGCAGGCCATTGTGAGTTAAGGAATAGACAAACCCAATGGTGGAATGTCTAGAAACTTGGTAGGTAAAATATTCCCATATGCTGCCGTAATGCATAGCTGCGGTTGCAAAGCTTTAAAATTTGACAAGAAAGTATCCTGCACAAAGAGAAGAGAAGAGAAGAGAAGAGGAGTGAGTAATTTGTCAAGAGATATATAAAATCATTAAAGTTAACCTTTTGGGTTGAATTGGTTCTTTATATAGTATCAGAGCCTAGTCCTGGTCCTGTGCATTGTCCACCCTAGTCCAGTGGACTTTCGTACGAGGGGACGTGTTAGAGATATATAAAACCATTAATATAGCTTACCCTAACATAAGCTTTTGAGTTGAATTGATACTTTACATAATTAACTCAGATTAGAAAGAAGAGGAGAATAGAATAGTTACGTCTCCAGGTCGTTCGGGAGTGAAAATAAGATGAGGAGAGAAGCCCCTATCAAGGGCATAGTTGGCCAAGGGAGAGTGCGTAAGTTTTTTCCCCCTGTCCCTTCTAGCAGCTGGCTGTGTAACAATAGCCGCAACCTAAATATTAATTAATAAATAATACCATATCAGTGATTCAGTGATTGATTGAGACTTGAAAATGAATGCTAATGACTGTGATTGTGAGAGGAAATAGAAGAAAGTGGTATTGAGGATACAAGAATGAATGAATGAATGAATACCTCAAATAAAGAATCTGGAGAAGCAGAAGCATTGAGAAGCGCATCGAGGACAATAGCCGACACCTGCAAAATAAAAATTAGAGGAATGAAGTTAGTAAAGAAAGTTGGTTAGTTAGTTGGAGAGAAAAGTAAGTTGTTGGAGAACCTGAGGTGCGCCCAAGAGGACAATGGGCTTCTTATTGGCGGTGGTAGAAGCGATAGAGGTTGTTGACGCACTCTGTAAACAGCAGAACCGACGAATCATTCTGATGAATTGAAGCAGAACGAACGACACACAACAACTCAACTACAACACCTTTTATTTATCTCAAGGGTAATAATCCCTCGCTGCCTGTTTTTGTTTTCAAAATATAAAAGTTAAAATGCTTTCTGCCAAAAAAAACATTTATATTGAGGGAAAAGTATTTCAATGATAAAGGGAGACAAAGTTATATTTAGCGAGTTCAAAACGATATTATTTTAGGTTATAAGATTAAAAAATTATAATGATAAAGACTAATATAACACTGTAATATATTATAATTATAAAAATATCTTGATTTCTGCTCCAAAACGATGTCATTTTGTGTTTACTGAGAATAACTTATCTCCTTTAACTAAAGAAATCATTTACCCATAAAAATAGATCTACTTGATTTTATAGTAAATAGAATAGTATTAGTCCCTTTGAATAACATAAATTTATATTATTTTGAATGAAACTGATGTGCTTTGTCGATTTTTTATTTTTTCTTTCCCTCCTAATATTTCTTTTTTAATTTTACGGAGGAAAGAAAAATATAAAAAAATCAATAAATATGAATTGAAACATAATAATTTTATTTAAAATAATATAAATTTATTTCCATTGACAAATATTATTTCCACAATAAATACATTTCAATTTTATTGTAAAAATAAGAAATTTTTTTGTATCTAATGGTTCAAATATCTAATAAATTAAAATTGTAAAATATAAATAAGGAGATTAAAGTTTCTCATTTTATATATGAGATAATTTTATCTCTTAGACACATATAAAAATGTGAGTCCATATGAAACAAAAGAAAAAGAAATTATTACTTATAAAAGATAAATTTATCTCGAGAAATATCATATATCCCTGTATATATATATATATATATGCCAATTAACAAAAGTGAATAATAATATATAGAGAAATAATAGGGTAGATTTTATTACCTTGAGTGGGTAAAAATAAATAAAATAGGAGAGCCGCTAAGCTTACCCTATGTAAATGTTATCTTATCTGTATTGTATAGTGACTGAATAACACTAAACTAACAAGGAGCTAGCTACCTGAGCCTGAGCCTGAGTCTCTGCGCGTGTGTGTGCTGTTGATCTCATCCTCATCTGATTGGGATTTGGGATGGCTCTTTCTTCGTTTGTGGTTAATCGCCCTCCCCTACTTCGTCTTCATGAAAACCTACCTTTACCATTTGCTCCGCAATCCCAAACCCAGCCCAAGCTGAAATTTCCATCCGTTGGAATTCGATGTTCCTCCTCAACTTTCAACGACAAAACCCTCATTTCCCTCACCACTCAAACTTCCACACACAATAACCACCCTCTCCTTTGTCGCGCTCGCTCTTCCAAGTTTCCAGGTACCTTTTTTTTTTTTATCCTCTCTCTTTATTATGCATTTTTCGTAACACCTTTCTCATCCCTTTATAAAATTTTTTCAGAACTTCATATGTTGTTTAATCATTTAAACTGTTATGGCTGTCCGTGTTTGGTGTTCCCTCATCCTCTACGTAAAATAAATGAAAATGTACTAGTATTTCTAAAACCTCCATTGTATTGTATTGTATTGTCCCGTAATAGGGTCATATGAGTGTTGTGGTGCCTCGCCGCAAGAAATCATGCCGCACACAATAGCGGCCATTGTGATAGCATTTGTGGCCATATTGCTATCATAAGGCAAAATGTTAATTTTGTCCTAAATTTAAATGTAACGGAAAAAATTTAAGGGTTTTTAAATTTATCCGCGTCTTTCTCTATCACTTTGCTATCACTTATCTATTCCGCTATTTCCGCAACCGCAACGTGACATATTATCATATATCACCTTGTTATAGCGTTTATCGGGGTTGGCCGCAACGTGCTGCAATCCGCATTTGATAACTATGGTCCCTGTTAAGCCACGAGTAAATTTCTCGGCTTTCCAATAGTGGGGAACCCTAGTATTGCTAGAGTAATTGACCCCAATTAGATGAAGATAAGCTTACTTATTTGACAGTATAAAGTTAGTCAGTGACCTTAACATATTTACATTTAGTTAGCCTTGTTTGTTACTTATGGATATTTAGATTTTAGGCTGACATAATTATCGGTAAAGCTGTGAATGTGGTTTTATTCAGCATTATACTGTGAATACCCAATTTATTTCAATAGCTAAAGTTTGAGTTAGTGATAGTTGAAGAGCTTTAGAATCTAACATGAGCATTGGTTATCCATGGGGCATGTTAAAGCTGACACTATGTCTTTCCTTTCATTCACTTGCTTCCTGAAACTGCTTTCCTCTGAATAGAAACATGGTGGCAATGTCTTTAATCCTTGTATAGGACAAGGGAAAATACTGTGAAATTTAATTAAGATTCAATTAATTGGTTGGGGCATATATCATACCACTATTAATACTTGGTCATTTCCTTCATTTAAACGGTGAGAGTTCCTTATTGTGTGTGAATGGAGTGTATATGTGACTTTGAGGTCTTTCTCTGAATCTCACTCTCCGACACACAAGGCATGCATGAGAAATTTAAGGCAGTCACAACTTTTAGCTTTTCAGTATACACAGGTCCAGGTGGTAATTTAAATATTCCATCATGGATTGGATGTAAATCTGCTCAGAATGAATTGGGAAAGCATATATTAACATACATGGAAATTCAATGCTGCAGGACAGGAGAGCAACAAATCATATGTAGAAGCCTATGCCATAGGGCGACATATTCGTATGTCTGCTAGCAAAGCTCGAAGAGTAGTCGAACAGATTCGGGGACGTAAATATGATGAAACACTGATGATATTAGAACTCATGCCTTACAGAGCCTGTGAAGCCATTCTTCCAATAGTGTTTTCGGCAGGAGCAAACGCTAGCAATAACTTGGGTTTAAGCAAAGCAAGTTTAATTATTAGTAAAGCTGTGGTTGATGAAGGGAGAACTATGAAAAGGATGAGGCCTTGTGCACGAGGGCGGGCTCATCAAATTCTAAAGCGCTCTTGTCATATAACCATCGCAGTAAAAGGTTTACCTAGTGAGGCTGTCGTGGAAGCAAATCCTGCTTAATCCTATTTGGGACAAAAATGTGTGCCTTATTATGAATCTCCTCCAACCATTACATTTCTTGAAAATTTCTGCATTTTGATATTATGTTTCTCATTTTATACAATGGCTCTTAAGAGAGGAGTAATTGAGTATGTGGTAAGTGTACGTCTATGTAAGAGCTGTTTGAATGTTTTATTTAATAGTGCTGAAAATGAAATGTTTTAGCATTGAAACTTGACAATATATTCCACTTGTTGTACCAAGGGGAATATCGTGAATGCTTAGGCTATATGAAGTTGAAATCTGCAAGTTGATGATCACGTTTCATGTAATGCATTTTCCTGTTCCACTTATAATCGGCTCGAGTAGTGTGTATTACATTGCATGTAAGTGAACAATTTAATTCGTAATACATGATTTATTTAGTACAAGAATAGCAAGCAAGCATTGTACTTGAAGAATATAGACAATATGGCGAGGCAGGTTGTGGTGAATGCTCTGCTATAATATGGAGTGAATACTCTGCTATAATCTCACTTCTCAGCAACGGTAACCGAGCTAAATCACATCACACCCCTTTTCTATAATGCGAAGGATCAAAGCTTAGTGTGCCCGCTAGTGAGATTCTCCTTGTGCACGCCCTTGTGGAAGGGAATTTTTAGGCAAATTGGTTTTGCTAATCTTAGCTTTAAACAAGATTTGGACCTTGAAACGTGGGACAGATCTCCAAGATACCTTGTTAATCTGTTCCAGCATCTTCAAGTTGAATCTTTTCTGAATGGCAATTCACTTGGATTTTATTTTATTTTTTTCTCATCAAACCCAACAAATAAAACTTTCAACAAATGACAATCAATTAAAAAACAGAGAGAGAGAGAGAGAATAAGATGCCATGTGATGTATAAACATTTTTTTTTAGAAAAAAAATTGTTTTATATCTCATTTGACATATTACTATTTGATGACTGACATGAATCAAAAGACTCATGTTTTGGATTTAGGTGCAAGTTTATGCATTTTTTTTTTTGTATTATTCGTATGTTCTTTCAATATCTTGCTATGTGGAGATTAGGAAATGCTCTCAATTATTTGTATGGTTTGAGTTGAACTGTGAATCATGCAAGTTACCAATATTTTCCAATATGGAAATTTAACATTTATTTGTATTTCAATTTGTATTTCAATCTTTTTATGAAAGGTATTTTTCTTTCATTACATTTATTTTTTTTTTCTTTATTGCAACTACATTTATAGATACAAAGAAAAGAATTTCTTCATTTTTAAATTATGATTATTGCACGATCCTTAAATTTTTTACTTTTACATGTATATAAAAAATGACTTACAACTATAATTTATAATATTTTATAAAAAAAATGGTTTTATCCACGTTCGTCATAAAGACATACGTTAAAAATAAAAATGATACCTATAATTTATCCTAATTTATTGAGAAATAAATATTAAATAATTTTAATTTTTAAGATATTTGATGTGTTTTTTTATTACCTTAACATAACAAGATCTTAAAAGCATTTGATACGCGTTATTCTTCAGGATTTTCGAAAAATTAAATTTTTCTAAATTTTTAATTTTCGGATATTATTGTAAAATGAATATAAAAATCATATTTTTGAAAATCGAGATTCTGAGATAAAAAAAATTTCTCCCCTACAAAATGCCTTTAGGAAAAAAAACGTTAAAACCAAGTTACTACAACATTGTTTAATTTGCTTGAGGTGAGTGTCTGTGTTGATTATAGTTTAGAAAATTTTGGAATAAAATTCTTAATATCACAAATAATAAACATCTAGAAAAATTAATTTGTCAATGAAAAGAAAAAATTAAAAAAAATAATAATAATATAGAATTCCCTTGCCCTGTGTTTGAAAATGTGAAATGTGGAAAGCCCTTGTGTGCAATTTCGGAGATAGTAGTAGGTGTTCAGTGTTCTTCTCCAACATCTTTTCAGTTTCTCAGTTTAACTATCTTCTTTGTATAGCTTCCTGAATCCACCCTCAGTGTGTTAGGTTTTTCATAGCGCTATGGCTTTTTACGGAGCCGCCGCCAATCGTCTTCGTATTAAGCTTTCAGTTATTGCTGCTACTTGTGGACGTCACTGTCACTATTCTTCTTCTTCTGCTTCAGCTTCAGCTTCAGGCTCAGAGCAAGTGAATCTAAATCTGATAAAGCAATTGAGAGAAAGAACAAGCGCTCCTATTAAAGACGTGAAAGCTGCTCTTGTTGATTCCAATTGGGACATTGATTTGGCTCACAAGGAACTCAGAAAGAGGGGAATAGTTTTGGCTTCCAAAAAATCCTCTCGTACCGCTTCTGAAGGTTTGCTTGCCCTAGCTCTTAACCATTCCAAAGCTGCACTCATTGAACTCAATTGCGAAACTGATTTTGTTGCCAGGAACGATATTTTTCAACACTTGGTTTGTTTTCCCTATCCTTTCGATATTCCTTTCACACTTACTCTGCATCTTATGATATTATAATTATTATTATTATTATTATGTTGTTGTTGTTGTTCAAATTGCAGGCATTATCTTTAGCTAAGCAAGCTTTGTTGCTTGATAACTCTTCTCACCAGCTTTCTGCTCCTTTTCACGTTGGACCTCAATCTTTTGAGGTTAACTATACTAAACTTTTTATAATTGAATTTTTCGGATCTTTTCAACCATATAAAATTCTAGTTGTTCGAATATGCATTTAAATCACTCACTTTCACCAGGAGATGAAGTTTAATCTTGAACATCCAAAGATAAGTGGAGAAACAACCGTTCACAATGCAATCACTGAAGTGGCTGCAATGATGGGGGAGAATATTAGATTAAGAAGAGGTTATGTGATGCCCGCGTCACCCCAGGGTCTTATATCTACATATCTCCATACCAGTCCCCAACCAGGTAGTTGAAATTTATTTTTTGTATATATCCACTAGTTCATCGATTACTCGACTAATCCAATTCAAATACCGTTGGATCCATTATAGGGGGAAATTTAATTTTTTTCCCCTTTAATTCATGCACTTATGAGTATTCTGCAACTGTTGCATCTGCACGCTGGCACTCAGAGGCAACATGCACTTATGCACATTAGCACACATAAAGGTCATGAAGTGAAGTGAAGTCATTATCGTTTTCTTTTGCAATATCTTATACGAAGTACCAAATTCTTTGCAACACCTAGAAACTTGACCTGACAAGGATCCTGACTTCCTCCTATTTAATTAGGTTTAGGCCGCATTGCTGGAATTTTGTCTCTTGAAGTAAATGATGGTAAAACCCAAGTGGATGCTCTTCAGCGTGTTGGATCAGAATTGGCCATGCATGTAGTGGCAGCGAAACCATTATTCTTAACAAGGGAACTTGTGCCTTCAGATGCATTAGAAAATGAGCGTGAAATTCTTAAATCTCAGGTATCTTTTTTATTTCTTTCGGAGTTAAGTATAGGTTGAATTGTGATTGTTATAGACATATGATTAGGGTTCTGTAAGTTCTGATCTGTAAGAATTATTTTAAAATTCATCATTAATTTAAGTATAATTCAATTTTGAAATTTTAGATGAATGAGCCCTTCTCAATTATTGTATTGATTGTTTTGTTCTAATTCAAATTTCTTTTGTATCCTTAGTTAACAAATATTTTCCTGCTAGGGGGAGATTGGTATGAAAGTTGCAATGCTTGCATAGATGCAGCTGACCTTCTGGCAACTGCTCTAAGTTTCCTTCAATGGGACGTTTAAGACTGTGTTGTAGGATTTTTGGGTGGTTTAAGCTGGCTTGTAGTTTAGTCCGGTTTAAATAATTATATTTCAATTGATGAGGTTTGGTTCAGTTGGGAAAACTGACATTTGAACCAGTCTTTCTATGGACTATGGCAAGGTACACCTGCACAAGAACGATAAACCCCTTCCTTATACATAGATATAGTCCTTTTTTCTCTTTGACCTTTTTATCTGCTATATATACCTATGCCTTGATGATTAAGAGCATTTCATTAGTGGCTCTAGCAACTCGTGTGAGGATTTAGGATTGCCCTAGTTAGACTAATTCAACTTTTTGATAATCCAATTCTAACTAGCACTTAAAAGTCAGAATTGAAGAAAACTTTGTTTAGCAAATGCAGTCTGCTTAATATTTATCTCACATTGGATTTCTTATTTCTTATAGTTCATGTGATGAAGTACCACTTTCTTTACCACATTATAGAAACTGAACAAAAACTGTGTGGTTTTAATATTTCAGGCAGAATCCTCCGGTAAGTCTCAGATGGCCATAGACAAAATGGTTGAAGGACGTCTCCGCAAGTACTTTGAGGAAGTTGTGCTTATGGAGCAAAAGTTTATTATGAATGATACTATGAATGTGAAGGTATGTGAGGTCTCTCTGAATTGAATTGGATCCATTTTGAGAAAGTTGAAATTATGATGTGATGGCTATATTTATTGGTCGATATTATTATTTTGATTGATGAAAGAAATGAAAATTCTACACTTGCGTCTGTTTGTTCAGAATCCATCACTCTCTTCATTTATTTATATTATTTGACACTTCCTTTATCCTTAAAGAGGGGGAAAATGCCATTATACATTGCTAACTACCATTTTCATTTCAATAATAAATGAGTATATGACTCACTTATTGCATAGAAGAGCTCTTTCAATATTAACTTGTCATTACACTCTTGCAGTCTTGCCCCCTATACTGATATATAATAAAAGAAAAGTCATTTGCTTGGTTTTAAAGTAAAATAATAAAGCTTAGCAAAAACAGATAAAACATTTGAAACAATAGAGTTTGTCTGCATCCTGGATTGAGAAATGAATAGATACTCGTATCATTATTTTATCCATGTGTTATAAATTTATAAAAAATCAAACATATTGCAAGATGATTTTTAGTTGTCAATGGATATAACCCAATTTAGGCTGTATCAAATGGCTGTATTAAGTGTTAAAAGAAAATGTAGGTCTTGCTTCAAAGTTTTGTTTTTGCCCAATTTCTAACTTCACAATTAGATTTTGATGGCTGAATTAAATCCATGTGAAGATACTAAATAATTTTGTTCATCAATGATTTATATAATTAAGCCTCATATTCAGGATTAAAGGCAGCTTGTTGTGTCAAAGGTAGCAGCAATATACGTAGTAATTTTACTTAGGAGTAATAGTTCCTGGTTTAACTCTTACAGTTATCTGAAAGAAATACCTAACTGTGGCTTTGTGGTAGTGGGCATATATTATCTTAAATAAGCCATTCAGAAGAATCTGGAATTCTGGACTACTATAAACTTATTAGGCTTTTTTTTCTGTGGCATTTAAAATTCTTTATTATGTTACACTGGCATCAAAGGTATTCAATACCATAGTGGATGTATGACAGACTCAAAAATCTGCAAACAGCTCCTGCATCAAAGTCGTAGGCAATCATAACTTAAGAATTTGGTATAAGGTGTCAATTGTGTTCTCAATTGAAAAAGGCAAAAGGAAGGGGGGACTTGGGGAATAAGAGTTTGGTTCTCTTTATTTGAAACACCATGGGTGACTGATAGAACTGGACCAGAATTGAATTAAAAAGATGAGATCTTTATTGATAGAACCCACAATCTCTGAATTGGTATTAAGGTGATACTGAATGGAGATGGCATTTAGGTGAGACTGGACAGAGATCTGGAACGCGTAGAACATGAAGTACAAACTCTCTCATTCCAGGTATTCGAGAGACCTAGGCTCTCCATCCGGTTTTCTGCTCAAAAGTCTAAAACTGATGACTCTTATTTCCCTCCTATTAATTATACCCTGTCATATCCTGTCATTTCTCCCTCTCTAACTAACTAACTAGTCTTTCCAATTAACTAACTAAAAGAGACTGACCCAATTTTGATTGGGAGTCTACCAACAATAGTCCCCCCCCTAAAGTTGAACCTTGTCCTTGAGGTGAACATCAGAAAATTCCCCTTCACCCAAGTGATTACTCTCTCTTTCCTCTGAACACTCCTCTATCTGTGTTACATGAAATTGCTTGTTCTTACATAGATGATCTGGATTATATGTCTCACTACAACTAAAAAACATCCCTTTCTTGACTTTTTCCTATAATTCCGCACCTAAAAGTCCTCTAATCTGGAAGTATCATTCCAAGTTCCAACCTATTCACCCAACCAGATGCATCATCCCATGAAAACAGAGGAATCTCCAACCTTTTCCATTGTTGCTTGCCGTTTCCACTGGTCTGCCATCAGCGTTCCCAATCTTCTCATCTCCATTTTCCAAAGCACTCAAAACTGCCCCACCCATTGGAGCTCCCACCACCGTGCTAGTTACAGTTTCCAATTCTTCTCAATCGCACTTCTTACACCTCCCTTCGAGATTTTAAGTCTCCTGCTCTGCCTCAATTCTCTTTTCCAATTCTTGAACCCTTTCTCCAAAGCCTCCATTCTCATCTCCACTTTTATTTCCCTCCTATTATTTACACCCTCTCATATCCTGTCATCCTCTCCCTCTCTAACTATCTAATTGTTTCAATTAATTAAAATAACAGAGACAGGCCTACTTTTGATTGGGGGTCTGCTAACAGGGACTTGTTCCTATCACATCATTGGAGTCCTACTTATTCCAATTAATCCTTCTGACTCTAGGAATAAGAAATAAGAATTGAGAAACCTGTTTGATGCTGGGAATCTGAGCAGTTTCTGCCTGTCAAATTTGCAATATAGAACCGTGGGTAGCTATTAGCCTTCAAAGCCATTCAAACTCTAGGAAGGTCTTAAGATGTCTTCTGGTCACAGACCAGCAAATGAAGGTGATCTGTTGTGTGCAGTACCTGTAAGCATTTTTTTTTATTCCAAGACCACAACTCTGATGTAGAATTTCATGATAAGCTTCCAAATCTAGTGCCTTTAATTAGCATTAAAAGTATAAAATGCATACATTTTAGATATGTCGTATTTTCTATTTTTAGTGTATATATATATATATGGAACCAATTTGTTTGTTTTATCATTTATTATCTAGTAACTTTCATGCCTCTCTGCAGGCGGTGCTCGATAATCTATCCAAGGAGATCGGTTCATCTGTGAAGGTTCTGAGCTTTCTCAGAATGGAGGTTGGGGAAGGAATTGGAAGGTGAAACCTGTACCTTTTTTGTCACTTCTCTTTTCCTATTTTGTTTTAGAGTCTAGTTATGTACCGTTAAAGAAAGACATTGCAATTGGTCTTCAATTTAATGGTTTAATCAGATAGTATTAAATGGTGTGGTTTAATTAGTTATGTATTGCTGTACAATTTATGTTATGGGTGTGTTCATCATGCAGTCATGGCAGGATGTAGGGTTAAAGGGTATACGTTACACTGAGATTACTTTGACATGTCTCTAGCAATGTGGTTTTGTCAGTTGAAATCGTTAAATTGTTTTACATGATAAAAACGGTGTAATGTGTATAGCCTATAGCATTTCTTAGCCTAAAGTTTCTTTTTGATTTCGCAGCATCCTATTCCGTGACTGACCCCCTCCTACTAACGAATGAAAACAATTGTGGATCAAATTCTCATTTTGTTTTTCGTGTCAGGGAAGTTAGTTGATTTTACTGTTAATTTTAACAATTTCACTGACCATCTACAATTTTCAGGCAAGAAGCAGATGCATCTGAACCTGTTGCTCAGGCTGCCTAATTTAAGGCGATTCTGTCCATTCATGGAGGAAACTTCTGACAGCTCGGGTTTATTTTTAAGACTTTTGCTCTCTAGCTGATAATAAACAGGTATGTTTTGTTTATTGATCTGGGAAGTTCTGAGGTACAGGATTCTGTCGAAAATTTTGCTCCACAGTGGAAAACTTCAATTAGACTGTTATGGTGCACTCTCCCAATCTATATATGCAAAGCCCAAGAAAGAGATAGTAGAAACACATTGGCGTCGTTTCCAAATTACTTGAGTTTTGTTCTATCTTTTGTGAGTTCACAAAGTTTCTCGATTTTAATTTTACAAAGCTCACAAATAAATTGATATGTTGAGCTTCTCTTTAGGATGAGCCAAACGGTTGTCTAAAAGCAGACGTAGCCTGATTTATCTTTGCTTGAAGGTATATAATTAAGTTTTCAACTTTAACCTCATTATTCTTTTAAAGCGATTCAAGTCCCGAGTGATCCGATTCTTTTAACCTCATTAAACTTTGACTATGTCGTGTTTTGTTGCAAATTATCTCAAGCCAGTCGTAAGCCCTAAAACTTTGTCGGACAGTTATGACATGGACATGCGATATGATTGTGTTATTAATACTAGGTTGTTAACTGGAAAAGTGATGTGCCGTATGGCTCGGGTACACTCAATGTAGCAAAGAAAAATCAAGGGTTCTAACACATTCATTAGCAGGATGTGTGTGGATAAAGAAAAGTAATTGATCCTTACGAAGGCGTCATGAGATTTCCCATCACGCGAAAAATAATGCAATGCCTGCAAAAAGAATGTATCTTATCTAAAATAATTTATCACCGCAATGGCGTACGGAACTGATGTGCTAATAAACTAATTATGAATATCAGTAGATTCTACCTGCCACTGCCAGGAGGTGTTCCACACAGAATGAGATGTCATCTATGATATAATTTTTTATATATCTATATAAAATAGAAGAGAAAAGAATGTATTGGAAAGTTGGAAATGTGGAACCAACCATCCCGTGAATATGATGAGCTGCTACTACTTATTAGCACAAGCTAACCGACACCGTCACCGAAAATAATAATGTCACGCAAAGTTTAGTAGTGTTTTAGAAAAGGTCAAATCCGTGAGTTCACATGCTTTTAAATTATACTTACGCGTCAAAAAAAATAGAATAAATAAAGTTCCTTCCTTATTTTGTGCCGAAGGCATTAATGCATAAACCACCTGTGAGAACAATAATAAATTAATAATGCTAGGTGGCAACCTAGCTCAGCTCTTAAAAATGACACAGAATTGGCTAAGGGTATGTGTTTGATCTTTTTCAGTATCACTTTTGGAAGAGGATTAAAGTCTTAACCCTGGACCTGTCCCGAATCAGACTAATAGTGAAATGATGAAATATTTCCAAAAAAAAGAAAAAAGAAATGACACGGAATAGTTAGCAACCGATCATAAGCTTGCTTGTCTGACTATAAAAACTAAACAAATAGCTTATCACAAACTCGAAAATGATAAAGAAGCTTCCCATTCATCTTATTGGATATTTTTATTTATTTATTTATTTTTTCTTGTGGTGCTTTTTCAATCCTAACGCGGACAATATCACAAACAATGTCAACCTTATTATGTGTGTATAACTGGCAACCGTTGAATCTTCCAATCTGAAATTTCTTGTTGGAGTTGTTCACAATCCCCCTTATATATGTACATCATTCCTTGAAAGTTGAAACTTGAAAGCCTCAACAACACTTGTCTCAAAGTTTTAATTAGTTAGCCCTCACTACTCTCAGGATCAAGATCAAGTCCTATACTTGTAGCTTCAAATCCTCTACAATAGTACATTTCAGCAATTTATTAAGGTTGTGTGTGTGTGTGAAGTATATATATATATATGGGGAACTACATATCTTGCACTCTATCAAGACCAGGAAGCAAGAACTGGAGAGGCATAAAGGTGATATTCCCAAGTGGAGAGATCAAGCAGTTTCATGAATCAGTTAAAGCAGCAGAGCTTATGGTTGAGATACCAAGCTTCTTTGTCGTAAACACTCGCTCTCTAAAGATTGGAAGAAGGTTTTCTGCACTTAATGCTGATGAAGAACTCGAGTTTAGCAACGTTTATGTGATGCTTCCAATGAAGAAGCTTAACTCTGCGGTTACAGCAGCTGACATGGGTGCTTTGTTACTCACTGCCAACGCCGCAGCTAAAAGGGTAAAAGTGAGAGTTATTCCTGAGGAAGAGAAAATGGAATCACAACCCAAGTTGAACTTGGATGACATTGAAGACTTGTCTAACCCAGAGTTCATGCACAGGTTGTCCATGTGCAGGTCTAAGAAGCCTTTGTTGGAGACCATAGAAGAAGAGCCATTCTGTTCAAGATGAATGGTCTTTCTTTTGAGCTACCTAAATCATTTTCTCATGCAACTGGGGATTGTTTTCTTATGTTGTGAGACATCGAAATACGTGCTATTCTTTTTTTTTAACAAGTAGTGAACTTCACGACTTGTTATTGTATCTATGGCATGAAAGATGTTAACTCATGTTACGTGAGGAAAAAAAAAAACCCTTTTATTTACTATGATTGGAATTGTATGTATTACCAAAACTAAATCAAAACATTCAACTTAGAAGTACTATTATCCTATTCTTTTGTCCTCCCTTGTCCTCAAATGGTTAAACTCTTGATACAGGATAAGTGGCTTCAATAATTTAAGAGGTGAGGAGAATTGAGATCTAAAACATTTTCACAAATGGCCTCTTTAAAGAAAAAAATCAACTCTTTTAATGTTTGATTTAAGGAAAGATGATGAATAAGTATGAAAAATTATATCCCAAATGTAGCAACAACCACAGGCTACGGATGAAATAAGGAGCTTACTAATTAATTAAAATGTTGTAAAATAAAGTTAAGGGTTAATAAACACTATTTAGTATTTATGTCATGACAAATTTGAGCCTGTTTCAAGTGAACACCAACTAACAAGTTAGGATGTTAGGATAGTGTATTGGCTATACTGCAATGCTGAGTATAGGTCCGTCTGGTATCAATGATGTAAGGCTCAAAGTGTATGGGATTATGATCATATAAGGCTTGGTATATGTGGTTGAATGCAATGTAACTGAAGTGTCTGTATTTAGGTACTGTTGATGTATTTATACTAGTCTTAGGATACAATTATCATGGTGATCGTGGCCTTAATGGAGTTCAATTAGAGGATGATCGTGAGTATCAGAGAATAGGGAAGGATCGTGGGTAACAATCTACGAGTTTGCAGCCCAAACTGGGTAAATCTTGCCGAGTATCGAGACTTTTAAATTTTCAGCAAGTGAGCTTAGGCCTTTAGGCCTAAACCCGGTAGGTCTATCCAGGTACACACAAACTAATTTCAAATAGCCTAACAAGTGTATCTAACATAATATATTACACAATGCAAAGGATATACTTTAAAATTGTTTTGAGATGTTTAATACAACTATCAAATACCCTTATAAATGAGCTTTTAAGTACTAAAGATAAAATGCTTTGTGAAGACTTGTACATATTGAATTCGGTATGTTGGCTTTAGACTTGATGCTTTGTTGGATTTTGGTTTTGGCTTTAGACTTGATACAAATTATAATCGAGGAAAAGAAAGTCAAAATATGTTAATGGAATCAAATTCATCATTAATTCATGGGTTACTGATTAGAGGAAAGATAAGACCAATTGAAAGTGGGTTCAAAGTAAACAAAAGATGAATAATATAGCTTTGTATAAAGTGCTCAATATCTGAGCAACTGATTGGGTAAAATATTATCATTGTATAAAGTATTCATTAGCGAATTGAAAATTCAATGATATACATATGACAGACATAATGTTCTAAGCTATAACGCCATGCACTTCAATACAAAATGATTATATAGATAGCAGAGAACCAATTATCACGATAGAATTAGACGGAGAATCTCTCCCGAGAACTTGAATGATTTCTCTGTTTCTTCCAGACAGTGGTTCTTCTCCTCCCGAGTCCATTCCTGATAAAAAAACAAGGGAATTCCAAAAGGCTCTATTCAACTTACTTCAGCAAAGGAACCGTATGAAAAGAATTAAGAGAGTTCAAGAAACTTAAACTTACTTGAGCAACTTTATTCAACTTGTCCCTCACATTCTGCAACAACTGGGAAAGGTCACCATCCCATTTATAGAACTCCAACCCCTTGCTGTTAAGTAGCTTTTCAGCAACCTGTAAAAGTCAAGTTTAAGATGCTGGAAAGTAACATGCATTATTAATTTTTTTTCTAAGTGCAAAATAAGCGAATCCAAACATGTATGTATACAATTAGTAATATTGATTAATTACCATCAGCATAATAGTAGTTACACACAACAAAGAAAATAATGCACATAGAACATATGTAACACAACACAGCAAATATCTGTATATAGATACAACTATTGTGGGAATTGTCAAAATCTGACATACCAGCTTATATACATACCTACAAGCCTTGTAAAACTTTGTGAACTATTCCATTTAAAAGAAAGTCGAGATATTCCCACTTCATCAAAAACTTCACTATCTTTTTTACATCTCCAAGGAAATATATAGTAGTAGTAACATGCTACATGGAGAGGAGAAATGAAAAATATCCCCCAATGTGAATGTGCCATATTAATCATAAAACAGATGTTCCAGCCTAATAATGACACTCAAAAGTAAAAACCAAAGATGGGCTGCATAATTTAACCTTTTTTTTTGGCATGAATGGCAATTGGTTACCTTTTTCCCAATCATTCGACCACCGGCAGTATGGGCAAAGTAGATGTTGTAAAAGTGGCAAATGAAGGCTTGAGGATCCTTATGAGATAATTCCGTAAGATATTGTGCATAGGTAAGACCAGGAGAGGAAGGTTCAGGAATGGTATGACCTTGCTCCTTGAACCACTCCAAATCTTTTGCCAAACTAGCACACCTTTCCAATCCAGTATTTCTGAATTCAGCATCTATGAAAGACAGATGAAACCGTAAGCATTTAACAATCAGATTATTAGTTATGAATATGCTAAAGGAATGGAAAGCTGAGTGAACAAGACAATTAAGAACAAGTTCCAGAATATGAAGAAGCTTAAAGATATATGATAATTAGAAATCATATCTAATGCTTCTGCACTTGATTATGGACCTGATAAAGGCTTATTCTACAAGGTCCAATAAAGGAAAGCACACAAGGAATGGAATCTTCTATTAACGACGATCTTATCCAGACAGCTAAGCAGTTGCACTTGAACCCCCAATATTCCTAAGAGGCCCAGAAGTATACTCTTGTCAGGTAATTCATCTATAAATAAGGGGTTAAGCCAATAAAGTATAGACATTCTAAATCCTCTCTCTCTTAGCTGTCATTGTGTACACACCTCACGTCGTCTTGACTATGTTGATTATTATTGTGTACAGTGTGATCTGTCTACCATCAAAAATATCTCATTCATGGATATCTTGAGAAAGGGCACATAGATCCTATATAAAATATATCAGTTAGCCATCGGCCGGACATCTCTGTCTAAGAGACGGAACACATATTTTCCCACTAAATTACACAATAGAGAGTCATAGCAGCAAATGCAAAAACAACTCACATGAAGGATAAGCAGCCTCATCATCTTCAATGTCAATGATGTTCTCAAGTGTATGAAAAACCAAGTTGCTGTCGACGAGGAACCTTAAGTAACCATCAATGGTTGGGTCCCACTTGGTAACAGCTCTCTCCTCGGGTTTCGTGACCTCTTTCTCACCCTCCTTGGCCTGGTCCTTGGTATGCAACTTCATGGCTATGAACCTCATCTCCTCAACGAACCCCTTGGACTTGGACATCCCAAAAACACGACGATGATAATTTAGATGAGGTGATGATGAGACAGACACGGGTCTTGGGTCTTGTTATAAAGGGATTGGATTTGAGAAACAACAGGTGTAACTGCAAGCGACGCCATGATTGATGATTGGTATTGGAAGAAGAGAGTTGAGTGCACGAAATCTCTGATGTGAAGTGAAGCAGCAAATGAATTTAGATGATAAGAGTGTGTGACAAATGCGACACACGATAAATACAATTGAAGGTTCAAGCAGCAACCTTAGAAGAAAAAGCGACATAGGAGAAATAATAATAATAATAATAATAAAAAGATGCTTAGAAATGTTAAAATAATGGTATTAGATTGATACGGCAAAGGAGTTAGTGTGTGGAAATGATACGATTTAATCAATAAGCAGCAGAGACCACTGTTGCTGACAGGTCTGGTCTTGTCTTGTGCCTTCTCCTTAAATGGAAGGGATGGTTTTCTTTTCTCTATCCCAGCTTGCCACATATTTTATCTAATATGAAAATCTATCGAACATGTAATTGAACCGGTATACCGGTATAAACCGATGCGAACCGGTCAATTTTTGTATCTGGATGGGTCATGTATATTTATTTAAAATAAAATACAATACAATACGACGTCGTAGCTTTTAAAACAACAACATAGACAATATTTTTTAAAAACAAAAATTATGGAGCAATTTATTTTTCTTCTTACCCAATTAGGAATTCGAGTAGATAGAAAGAAGACGTGTTAAGAACAAGGGTTGAAATTTGAAAATGAGATCTGATAGTAGCATGTTGCCTTTTTTAAAAGAGAGAAAAAAACGAGGGAAATGGAGCAGAGAGAAAGGGCATTGCCAGTTATTGCAAATAAGTTATCTGCATTTTCTCAATTAGTAATTTGATATACCTTGATGTCTTACTAAGTAACAGCTCTTCATATATCTATACTAGCCCTCCACGCATTAGCATCGTCTCGTTCTTACTCTTGAGTTTAACCAATGAGTTTTCTAACTTGTTTTTATTGAGTATTCTAAGAAAATTTTGAATCTAAATTTCTGGATTTTATTACATGAAAGTTTAGAAAAAAATTCAATTATTTTCAATCATTACATTGAAACCTTAAATTGATTGCTTTTGAAAAATAAATTTTTAATGATTTATTGACAGAAAAATTGTTTGAAATCGTTTCCTATAACGAAGAAATTTCATTCATGAATGTATTGTTACGAAACATAATTTTCATATTGTGAAATTTTCAATCTTTCGTTAATCGATCTTGTTTCATTGATGTAAAGCGAAAATTAGTTTGGAAAATTTTTGTTCCCCTGTTGTTTTTCCATTTATGTTGTTTTTAATACAAAAATCAAACATTTTGTGTCAAGAAAAATCACAACGCTTGAAAAATCATTTTTTAAACATCCAAAACTCTCAAAAATCGCTCGAAAATATTCTGTTTTTGAACTTTGACGAAGCTCCCATTGCAAAACCCGATTTCGAGCGAGTCGACTCGCCAAAAGAAGAAGAAGATACTGCAATAAAGAAATCTCAAAAAATCTTAGGGATTAAGGTGAGATTGTGAGATAGGCATCTTATTTATACTTCTCACTAAAAAGTCCTACGAAATCCACACGATAGAAAATTCACTAAAACAGTCAGATTTTTAAATACCACAATATTATTTACCTTTGTTTAAAATTCTAATTGAATACTACTGGATTACAAACTCTAAATTTTTTTAAATCCTAATCGAATACCACATAACATTTTTTTAATCATTTAAAGTCCTAATTGTATACAAATAAATTTTTTTGTCCAAAAATAATCCTTTAAAATCACAATCCAATATACCTTAATTTTCAAACGGGTATTTTTTATATAAATTTTCAATTTAATCCTTAAAATACATTAGGACATTGTTCCAATGCCTCAATCCTTTGCACGTTGTTCCGAAAGATCTGGGTTATGATGCCCTGACCTCCTGAAATTATCTCCTCACCTAAGGTACTACAAACACACAGAAGTTCTAATCAAATGACAGTAACACACTCAAGCTTCTATGGAAATATAAATACCTGTTCTCAAAGAAGAGTTATAGTTAAACCAGACAGCATGAGATGAGTACAGATTTTGAGCAATGAATGTTGAAAAACATAAGGGGCCAAGGTCCTCTATGAGATAAAGGTGAGAATACTTCTTAAGAAAATTAACTAGTCAAATTATTCCAAATATTGTTTTGATACAAATATGAAATTAAAAGAATACATTAGATATACAATCACCATGAATTAAAAGCTGATTTTTGATATAATATTAAAACGACTAAGTACTCACTAATTAAGAGTCCGATCCGTACGAGATGTTTTATAAGGACCAAAAATAATACACCAAAATATCCCCACATGACCAAGGACAAAATCTGCTAATGCTCTTAACAACAAATGATGACAATATCTACTGTAATACTTTGCATAATTCAACAGTTTATAAAGTTAGCTACATGTAACTGCTCAAAATTCAAGGGATGATACAAATCTATGAAATTTACATTGCTATGTACAGAAATGGTAGCAAGTAGCAAATGAAGTGCCATTTTTCCTCCTGAAAAGAATATCAAAATCCCAAACTGCGCAAAAAAGGTCTAGGCACATGTGCACCATGCTCCCAAGTTGTGGCCGGCTAAAATCTACTTTGGCTTATCATTTCAGCTACCTCACCCATGACGCTTGCCCCTCTAATTTCTAATAGGCGCAGAGCCAAGTCTTCTTCATTCAAATGTCTTAATCCCTTGCTCACTCTCTTCAACATAGCCACATCAAGTTCCTCGATCCACAGTGGTGTGCAACTCACCATCAAGCTCATAATCCCAGACACATATGCAAGCCAAGTTGCACAATCACATCGAAGTGATATTTTCCCGTCTAGGGCATTCGCGAGAAATTCTAAATGAATCCCAAGAACCTTTGGTCGTCGTTTTGATGCTGGTGATGAAGAGTCGATACCCCAAGCAAATGTCCCACTAAGTACAGCAAAACATGCCAGTGCATAACCTCTCAGCATAGCAACCACAACTCCAGATTCTCCCACTTCGGGCTCCAACCCTTGGGCTGATAAAAACCAGGAAGGTAGAGTTTCTGTTATCAAAGATTGAACCAAATTTGAACCACCAGATATCCAAAGAAATGAAGCTCCGAGAAGAGCAGCATGCTTGACACGTGTCATTGATGCAGCAAGAGAAACCTGTCCATATCTCATTCCGTACTTGGTCTTCTTTAGTTTCTCCAATTCACCCTTTGGCAACCCACCACTTACTATATCTCTAACTGAAAGCATCAAAAGAGAGACAATTTCTTCTGTCAAGAACATGACATCTCTAATAGATCTGTATACTCTCAAGTAGAGAATCCCAGGAGCAACTGGAGAAATCCCTCCGAAGAAGTGAGAACCAAATCCATGACCAAGGAGGGCGCCAACACCACCTTTGTTATAAATACACGCAGAACCAAGCCCAAGGGTGGAGGTGAAGCAACTTCTTAGGAGCTGAACTACAGCATCCCTGCTGTGGTGGAAGACGGTTCCAGAAGCAGAGAATACAAAAAAGTCACCCCAACGCTTCACCTTCTGAGCCCACAAAGAACCTACAATAGGCATGCATGGCCAGGGGCAACCGGAAGAAAGGGCAATCAAAGATGGGCCAACCAAGACAAGGAAGCGCTCAGAAGATTTATCCAGTTTATATGTTATAGTGAGACTTAGAAAAGCCGCCAAAGGCAAAGGAAGTGTAGCTGGAGCATTCCCATCTGTTTGCAGCAGTTCAAAATGAAGTGTCAACAGATTGATATAATAAGCCGTATGTCCATATAAATAGAAAATCAAAACAAACTTAGCCTGCCACAAACTCAAAAGACAGTGAGTGGATAATTCTAGGTCAATCATACAGCAGAGTGCTAATTGAGATTTTATTCATCACCCATGAATTACTTCTGAAAAGAATTATGAATATGCAAAAAATGACTAGTTGGCCTACAGAGTGAAAATGACATAAATGCTGCAAGAATCACCAAGGAAAGGATAAATTGATCTTGTAAAGAAGGCACGGTATCTAAGGATTTCTGTTCAATTAATATTTCCACAGAACAAAACAAATAAAAAAATAAACCCACTAACCTATAGCGAGGCTTGGGACATCAACACCTGTGGCCGCTAGAATTTTCTTGATTTGTTGCTCGACAATGGATAAATTTGCTGCAGGGCTAGGCCAATCAGTTCCATTCATAAAAGCTGGCTTCCATATGCCTCGTGTTACTTCAGCTGATAAGTAGCTTACTATGGTAGCCAAAGATGCCGGAAGAAAATCAGCAAGATCTTTGAGACCTGAGATAAAAAGCAAGCACATAGTACTTAGTAACTTACTAAGCAAATAGCTTAAAAAAATTTAAAGAAAAAAGCATTGGCGACCCAATTTATTGCTTTCCTAAACTTACGATTATTATATTAACATATATTTAATCCAACAAGTTACAATCTAAAAGCCTAAGCAAGTTTAGGAGCTTGGAATTGAGTTACCAACCATAATTGGCCAGCCCTCAAACTTCTTTTCCTTCTCCTTGTAATTGTAAGTGATACAGCACCAGTAAAGAGATATACTCCGAAAGATAACATTGCATGTCCAACACAAACACTAGTATAGTTCCTAAAGCATGTAAAGCATTAATTCAAACCAAAAGCTTAAGCTATTAGGTGAATAACACACCCTCGTACAAAAGCCCATTGGGCTTGAAGGGTGGTCAATGCACAGACTCACCTACTTGTGCTAAGAAACTCCATAATATTCAATTATTTAATTTGGGGGGGGGGGGTGATGACGGTCGAATTTGTGACCACTTAGTCAAAAAGGCTCTAATACCATTAAAAGTGTCAATTCAACCCAAAAACTTAAGTTGTTAGATGAAGGCCAAATTAAGTTTTATAATATATTTCTCTAATAAAGAAAAAATAGTAAATTAATACATTCTGATACTAGACACTTTGGAAGCACCACTTGGATGCTTCCAATCATTTTTGGCCCCACATCAAAGGCACCACAATAGTATAATCATGAATCATCATCATGATTATCATTATCAACATCATCATTTTTGAATTATGTAATCTTTTTTAGGTGATGTTGTCTAGTACCCTTGGTCTTGTATCTGTTTCACCGATTCCTACACCTTTACCCCTTATGAACTTAACCAAATGTCAATGCACCAGAACATAAATCCTATATTATGAAACCCTATGATAGAAACTGGCTCAAGAATTTGGAATTGGGAATTGGAAAAATACATAAGATAAGCAGAATCTTGATTAAATCTTTCTTGATGAATTCCTTCCCTCAGAGAACATACGAGTTTTCTGATAAGAATAGTAGAAAATTACAAAGACTCTCTCTCTCACAACTCTCCTAACCTTGAGAAATCTTAGTGCCTGTTTGGATCCTCTCTTTTTTAAGCTAGAAGCTCCTTATAAGTATAAGCTAGGCCAAACAGGTTTTGAAAAAAGCTCTTATAACGAAAAGCTCTTTTTTTAATAATGAAGAAAAAAGCTGAAAACTAAAAGCTCTTAGGAGGAGCTTTTTTTTAAGCTCTTATCTGTTTTTCTTGAATTGTGTGCTTTTTTTAAAAATGAAGAGTGATAAAGATAGAGAGAGAGATAATTTTCTTGAAATATGTGCTTTTATTTAATTTTTAAGCTAAAATTTTTATGTAATTTCCAAACAGCTTTTAACTTCTTTTTTTAAGCTCTTTTTTTTAACTTTAGCTTATAAGTAGCTTCTAGCTTAAAAATAAGAGGATCCAAACAGGCTCTTAGTCTCTCACCTTGCTTCTCTTCTTACTAACTATCAGACCGTCTACATGTATTCCCTCCCGATATGTATAATCCCCATGACCTAACTAACTAATTATGTTGGTATTTCCCAAACTAGCCCTGTTAACCCCACTGTTTGGGAACTAACTAGGCTTAACTAACATTAGCTGGCCCACACAGTTCTTTGGGTCCACCATTATTTCTTCTAATCTGCTTCCTAAATAGGAGGTTCCTGACACCCTAAAATTTAATAAGGACGCTACCTACATTTAACTGAGAAATCTTTTAACAATATTGTTTTTATTTCACTGATAAATGAACTAGGATCATCAAGTAAATGAGTAGACAGTTGCCCTGAGATTTTGGTAGTTTAATATCTTTTTTGTTATAGAAAACATTTATACAGTCTTTTTCACTTGCTAAGTTATTCTAGCAATCAGAATTCATGTTCATTCTTCTTTTATCTGTTCACAGGATATCCTTACTCCACAGTTCTAACACTCATGTTTTAAAGCATAAAAGCCTCACTATAATCTTGAAATAGTTCTCATTGATACATAATGATAAAAGCAAATTAAAAAAGGCATGAATACATTCATGAGGAAGCTGGGCAAACCTGTAGCCAGTTCACGAGGAGAGAGTCTTCCATGAGCACAAGCTGTAAGAGCAGCGTCAAGAACAAATGGAGCTGCTTCAAGGATATCCCATGCAGGCACTTTGAGTTTCACCAAAGCTTCATCCAATGAAGAACCAGATGAATTGCTGCTTCCTGAAGTTGTAGGTGTCAATGATTGAGCACTTCTACTTATTTTCCTGCACATCATGCTTAGTAGGGCATCAACAGTCTGAAGAACAGACCCTCCAGGTGCAAGAGCAGAGCGGGTTGATGCAATACATTCTTGATGTTGTCGATACCAAATGTTTAATTTTGGAAAGGAATCCATAAATAAGGGCTCTAAAGAAAAAATTATCATTTTTGAAAATCTTTTGCTTCTTATTCGATCTCTTGGTGATTTCCCAAAGGATGCTAACATACAATTCCGAACCAATAAAAGGTATTCAGGACCTAACTGTGATCCTAATGCTGGAGTTGCAGCACCCCCCATCACATGTTCAAGAGGTGGATGATTAAACCGCCATAATCTCAGCAGGAGAATAAATGCATTAGAGAACACTGCATGGCAGGAGAGTTTTTCACCACTTGGGGCAGTCCATGAGACATTAGGAACACATGATCCAAAAGCCTCACATATTGGCATTAGAGCAGCTGCGAGTAGAGGAACCTGAAAGAAGATGTCAAAATGACTGCATAGAATCAGGAAACAAACTAAATGAAACAATAGTTTATCTACTAAACACCCCCTCCCTCCCAAAAAAAAGTTTTTCAAAATTGTCTTTGATTGATAATAACTTAAAAGTGAACTGAAGATACAAACTTTCTCTCTCCCCCTCTCTTTTTTGGGGAAGGGGGGTTCTTAAAATTACTTGTCCTTTTTATTAGTTTTTCTTTTCTTTTCTTTTCTTTTTTGAGTAGAAAAGATTGTAGACCACTTGCCATTTACATGTATGAATCAGAATACAAACTTTATTGAATTTTAACATACCCCACCATGTAAGGAGATTATCTGAACACTGTCTACGGGTGAAATTCCAACCAGAAGGGCATTCAAAAATGGAGCATGGCTAATCAAATGGCTTTCAGTCCCAGAGTACTTTGGGGGAACTGGAGGTGAGAGCAAATTTATGATGGAAAAAATGACATGTTCCTGTAAACAAATATAATCATTATAAACATGAAAAAAAAAACGAGGGAAAAAGAAAGGGAAGGGAGCAAAATGAACTAGATAAAGAACTAAGGAAATAAAAATATTCCAGTAAGATTTTCTAATTATGAGAAAGCCAAATGAAGTTGGTGTCGGGATCACCTGCACATTCCAACCTCGTACTAGAGATGCCCCACAAAGAATGGTAGCAGCAGATATCTTCTCTTCATCCGAGCCATTGATTGCAAATTCAAATATTTTCTCTATTTCTGCTAAGCTTCCATTAAATCCATGAGCTTAAATTCAGTTGCAATACCACTAGTAAATATACAAAAAAGAGCATCTGATATAACTGAAATCAGGAAATAGAAAGGTGTAACTGAAGCCCAGGAATTAGGCAATACTACAGCCAATTTTTAGACAGCTACCACTTTCAAACATATACGTCTCCATTAGTGCTTTAATACTTAATGTGTCAGTGCCTATTTAATATCTATGTATCTATAGCTACTTTGCCTCAGAAAGGGCATGGGCAAAGGGCAAATCTCGGTACACAAGGCTCCTCGACTTGTGAGGGTAGAAGCAAGGATAGATTGTACGCAGCCTTACCCTTGTAATTTTACAAAGAGGTTGTTTCCCAGACTCGAACTCGTGATCTTTCGGGCACAAGCAGCAACCTTATCACTGCTTCAAGGCTCGCTATCCTAATTTGCCTCAAAAACGAGTAACTTTCTCTTTTCTATTCCAGATGAAATAAGTCCCTTTATCCAAGATACCTAGGAGTAATAAAGCCCATATACTAGGCATCAACCTGCCCAGGCTGTATTAAGAAAAGGTAGTCAACAAATACTTTGCCTCAGAAATAAGTAATTTTCTCTTTTCTATTCCAGATGAAATAAGTCCCTTTATCCAAGATTCCTTGGAGTAATAAAGCCTATAGACTAGGTATTAACCTGCCCAGGCTGTATTAAGAAAAGGTAGTCAACAACTTTGATATATTAGAAATGGTATATCTAATTATCTGACACTTTAATATTAATCCTTTATTATGTATTTTACATGCCATACTCATCATTTTTTTTAAAATATCATAAATTCATAATATATTTTAAAGACTTAAATTTTTTGATAAGAAGTATTTATCGAAGAGAAGAGAAATTCAGAGCAGTAAGATCAGGAATCCTCCTCACAACAACTAATAAAAGAAACAGGATAACATAAAAGCATCAGCTCAAAAGAGCTCTCCAATTCCTCTGAATGAGCAACAACGAAAGCACTTTAGGAGAAAAAAAAAAACATGTACATGAGCATAAACCCACAAGGAAACAAGGAAAAGAATCTTACCCAAATAAGATTTACATTTTACATTAAATATAGAAAAAGACATTCATACTCTTCTTTATAAATGCTTGTGTATGATAGAAAGAGAGGTGAGGATGAGGAAGAATAAATTTCCTTTTTTGGGGGGGGCGGTGGGGGGGGTGTGAGGTACATCAAGGTTACCACAAGTTGAACTTATGACCTTTACCCAAATCAACACCAATCTCAACCATTTCAGTTTCAGGATGAATAAATTTCATGCTAATGCAATTTTCTATAACAACTATAAAAAGTTGTAGAGTGAAAAAAAAGAATGGCCCATTACCCAACACAAAGAACTGCACAGGGTAACCACAAGCATGGGCATTAGACAAGAAGCAGCAAAGCTTTCCCTTAAGTACAATACTATATCGTGTTGGCTAATACAAATTGATGCAGGATAAATTTTGTAGAAAAATTAGCATGTGCTGAGAGATATCTAGAGATTAATTGGGTGAGTAAGAGAGAATAGAACACACAAAAAAGTAGGCTGATATTCAGGCCTGAACGTACAAGGAGAGATAAGAAACCCTACTTTCCAAAAAATTGAATCTGAAGTCCAATTACAGCTTTAACACTTGTCATGTAACCAACTCTCCCAAAAACTTAAACTGTTAGGTGAAAGCAGTTGAATAGTTTATATTTTATATTATATTTTTAATACAATACGACAAGCCTAGAGCAGTGGTAAAACTGCTCATTTGTGACTAAAAGGTTACAGGTTCGAATTCAGAAAATAGTCTCTTTGCAAATATACAAGGAAAAAAGTTGTGTGTAAAAATTACTCTCATCCTACCCTTGCTAATTGCGGTTTAATGGCGTGTAACTTTTTTATTATATTTCTTACGCGCACTCGCAAAAGAGCCCATTGGGATTGAATGATGGATGATGCACAGACCTACCTACTCGTGGTAAGAAATTTCATAATATTTATTAGAAGATTATTAGAAGAATGGGGGGCACCAAGGATTCTGATGGATGAATGATTTTATATTTTATATTATATGTCTAACACATACAAGGCAAATCCCAGTACACAAGGTTCCCTACTTTGTAAGGGTAGGAGTGAGGACTGATTGTATAAAACCTTACCCTTGCATTTTTACAAGGAGGTTGTTCCTCAGACTCAACTTGTGACCTTCCAATAAAAAAAAAAGCACCCTTACCACTTCTACAAAACTAGCCTCCTTCATACAAATTATAAGAAAATAAGTTAAATATGAAATCCTAAATCCTACGAAATAAAGTCTAATCTTGACTATTCACAGTAAATGAAGTAAAAGGACACACAAAACCTACATTAAAAAGCCCAAAATACTCACACTACTGATGCATGAAGAGTGATCTTGGTCAGCGGAGTGAGAGGCACCAACCAAGGGTTATTCATAAGTAATAAAAATTTAGAACATTCTAAGATACATCGAATGAAGGTTGCTAATGGAATTTATAATACAATTCAACGGATTCAAAGGCACTGTAAAGAACCTTGGGATACACCACCCCAAAAGCTAGCTCAAAGGGTGGGAGTGCTCAAGGCCTTATAAACTTCACATTAGTTGCACATACAACCAATGTGGGACTATATATCTCAACACGCCCCCTCACACGATAGCCCATTGAGCTTGAAGAGTGGATGATGCAACAGGCCCAGCCTACCTGTGCTAGGAAATTCCACAAGAGAAAGGGGGAGCAGCGAGGCTCTGATACCATGTAAAGAACCTTGGGATACACCACCCCAAAAGCTAGCTCAAAGGGTGGGAGTGCTCAAAGCCTTATAAACTTCACATTAGTTGTACATACAACCAATGTGAGACTATATATCTCAACAGGCACATAGCAGCTTTAAAGAGAATTAACATTTAAAAATCCAAGGGGAGAACACAACCAAGAGGAAGGAGCTGTAGTGAAAAGGAAACAAAATGGGAAACAAAAAAACTAGATGATATAATATTTCTTGAGTTTGTCATTGTTGTTTTGCCATTTTGGAAAGAGCATCTCTCACAAAGAGTGCAAGTGATCATGAAAAGCTATAAGTCCTGTTTATATGAATAAACAAAACCATCTGAACCAACCAAGTTCCCTATGGAGAGGGGGGAGGGGGGGATGGGGACAAAAGTGATATATGTTATATGAGGTAGCAGCATACCAGGAAGCAGGAGTTGCAGCTAAGACATTAACCAATGGAGGAGTTAGTGATGATCCCTTCATCAATGATGACCAGCTAGGCAAATGGTTAGGAATGCTATGAGGTAGTTGATTGCAAGGTGCACTCACATAACCAGGCCAGAAATAAGCTGAGGTATCAAGCAGATGTCTTGCAATACAAGCCTCAATAATCAGATGCCATAAGTTACCAGCTGCAAGAAAACACAAAATATGAAGTGTCACTCTCAAAGAGGTATGATTAGGGGTCTAAAACAAACATCAAAAGGCCTATACGAGACCAGCACAACTGAGAAAAAATAAAAGAAGGAAACAATAAAACTAGATCATTTGTCAAGAACCAAAAGTCCCAAAAGCTTAGGGAGGTAGGCGACATGTGAATGGTTTTATATTACATCCTACCTACCCCTTCATGCAAGAGTCTTTTGACCTTGAAGCGTGGACAATGCATTTGCACCAAAATTTAACTTTATATTTTAAGATGGAAGCGGCAAAGATCGAACTCTAGACCACTTGGTCATAGAAGCTCTGATACCATGTCGTGAACTAACAATTCTAAAAGCTTAAGTTGTTAGGTGAAAATACATGAATGGAATTATATTACCTCTCTAACATCATTGACAACAAAAATATGATTAAATCCTATGGAACCAAGCTAAATTAAAAACAATAAACTATTGATGACAAAAATTATGATGGCCAAGACTGAGATAGAGAGGAGGGGCAGGTCATGTACCCCTGAAAATTCATTAAGGAACAATTAACAGCATAAATTGAAGCATACATATAATACGGACCATCTTGCATTTATATGGGTTTAGGATAAAGGTGATGTTTATAAAGATACAATTGGAAAATTTTGATTTTAATTATTCTTAAAGGGTTCGCTTTTTCTGCAATTACTGCAGATAAGTTATCTGCAGTGAGCCCAATACGATGTCGTTTTGGAACAGAAATCATGGTATTTTTTTAATTTTAATTTATTTCAGAGTTATAATAGTCTTTATATTTATAATTTTTTAAGATTTCAATCCCAAAACGACGTCGTTTTGGGAATAAATGTAGATAACTTATCTGCATTTAGTGCAGAAATATTTTTCCCAGTCTTAAAACCCTCCCTCTTTTTATATTTTAGGCTCTTATTCTGCTTGTGTCTGCACATACTACAGGAAAAAGGATACATATCAAAGTGCAACTATTTACATGAGTTCATTCAGTAACCAACAAATTGACATATTTATGTTACCAAAAGCAATTACTTACAGTAGTTTGTGGGCAAGTCATTAACATTCATACTTTCAAAGTATCCATTATGTCCTGACACAAACATAATAGCCTTTATAGCAGCTTGATTGGCTACCCAAATAACAGATTGAGGTGGACTGAGTAAACCCTGATAATCACCCAATAGCTGTAAGCTGATAACCAATTCCCCACGACGCTCTCCCAAAGTCTGTTTGTCTTTCATTTGATTTGCTGGGTTACGCTCAGCTTCTTCAATCAGTTCACCTTCCTCTTCTTCGATAATATTAGCAACTACAAGGGTTGTAATGCACAACAACATACACAAGCAGGTATCAAGGCGAGGCACAGGACCCTCACTTGGGTCCCTCTCCTAAAAGAACAAGAAAAAAAATAGAAAAAATAGAAATCTTTAAACAAGTGAATAGAGTCCAGCAGCATGCAAATTTACAGTGTCACATCAGCTAAATGTAAATCTACCAACAAAATCAAACTAGAGCTTAAATGAAATGCTGCATTATCTTTCACTTTGATGACTGAATTTAACATATAACCACATCTTACACGTTTCTAAGTTTATCAAGCTATTACTCAAAAAAGAATTAAAAAAAAAGGTCATCCCACCCAAAATAATAAAATCACTAGACTGCATTTCCTTCCAGGAATTCCCTTTCACCCCAAGAAAAGAAATCAGCAACTACAAAATATTTACTTAATCAACTTCCCTTGGACCATATCTTACCCTTTGAACAAGTCGCAGTGCAGCGATCCATAAACCTAAAAAAGCATTGTGCCATGCAGTACCATTAACTGCCTGTAAAGCCTTCAACAACCCTGCAAAAAGCCAAGAATCACTTAAACTAAATAACTCACTATTACTTGAAAAAGCAAACGTCTTATAATATAGATAGATGCCAGATACACTTAAGTCCAGCAAGAGTTATGATATTTGTGAATAGTCGCATACCAGTAAGACATTCAACAGCACTAGTTTCCGCGACATGATCGCCATCCATAGCATCCTCGAGGATAAGATCAATAGGAAGCCAAAGCGAGGACCAACTATCATGATGAGATTGAACAGCACAAGATATCTGAGAGCCAGCACTAGCAGCCATGACGGCATTAAGTTCGAGCTTAGGTGTTGTCTTCCATTCAGGAGACAAAAGCTTAAGCCCATTGGACTTGAAATCCAAAGGCAAAAGCGACTCTGCAGTGACATGTTTCAAGTTCTTCAAAACCAACGAGTTTGCCGCAAGTCGCTGCAATTGGTGAGCGAAAGGTACCCAATGTATTGGCCTACAAACAAACAAATAAATAAATAAATAAACAAAAGGGGAAGGATATTGTAACAACCAATTAGTGTTACTACCAATGTTACTACCAATGAATTTCACCGATATGTTGATCCAATGGTTATATTTATTTCCATCTTTATATGGTTATGATTCTCCATATTTAATACTTTATATTTATTTTCACCTTTGTATGGTTATAATATTATATTTAATGCTTTCATATTCATTAAATATGAGAAATCATAACCATAGAAAGCACTACATATGAGAAATCATAACTATACAAAGGTGTAAATAAATATAACCGTTGGATTAACATAATCAATTTAACGGTGAAATTGATTGGTAGTAACATTGACTGATGTTACAATATCCTATCCCTAAACAAAAAACCCTTCAATGAACATCCTAACTAACTGGTAATGAAAAAAGTAAAAAAATAATGAAAGACGTTACATGTTTCGATGAACCAAGGAAAGGATCCTTGAAGTGACTTTGTTTCGAAGAAAGTGTGCAATCATCTCAATAGCCATTGCTGTGTTTTTCCTATGCAAACCCTCCTTGTGATCGGTGAAGTAGTTAGAACCATCCATCATCGTTACATCAGTATCACCGAATCCGTTTAGCCATCTAGATTTACTGTGTTCAAGTAAACCTTCATCGGCTAATGATGCTTCGAGTAACTGCGACACAATTGCGAAGACGAAATGAACAAGAACAACTCCAGGTTCGGGTTCGGGTTCGGAGGCATATACTTGGGAAAGGCGAAGAACATGATGAATGGATTTCATGACCTTATGATAATTAGGAGAATGGATATGAGAAGAGAGTGAGAAAGCGTGTCGGTTGAGAAGCTCCATGTAGAGTGTGTAAGCGGCAGGGTGGAGGTGTCGTTTCGTGTGTTGAAGAACCGTCGTTGAGAGGAGAGCGAGGACGAGTAAAGGAGGGACAATCCTAACGGCCATGGCTTTCTCGAGAAACTTCCACGTGATAGGCACGTGATTTTCCCAACAGATGTGAGAGACGAGTCGGTGCGCTAACTCGACGGAAGGTAAGGACACTCCGGCGGAGTTGAGGGTTGAGGTAACCTGAATTGACCATAGCAGAGGGTCTGTTTTCTTCTCCTGCGCCCACTTCGTAAGCTCCAGTACACCCTCCCACACACCTTCTCCCCCCATCTCTTCTTCAATTTTCAACTAACTAGTAACTACACAGTAACCAACCCTCTCTCTCTCTCTCTCTCTCTCTCTCTCTCTCTCTCTCTCTCTGTGTGTGTGTCTCTGAATCTCTAATAAAACTCAAAATTTTGAAAAGTCCGCTTCGGAGGCGTGTAAAAATCGAAGAACCCTCCTCTGTCTTCCATCTATCACTTTCATTGTCAAATTGAGACTTTGAAATTTTGATGTTATTCCTTTTAAATAAATACTTTAAATAAAGTAACAAAAACAAAATTGAAATTGACGAATTGTAGTCGTCAATGGGAAAACCGAATTTTTTTTTTTATTTAAACTAATTCATTAAGTTATTATTATATACTAATGAGATAAGATTACGATTTTTTAAAAAAACTATTATAGCACGAAACCAAACTTGGTTGGTGCTATTATATTTTTAAAATTTTATTTAAATTGCTTAGAATGCTAAAGCATGTGCCCCTCGCATTTCTTTTAAGTATAGAATCAGATCGTTGATTACAAAAAATCTTGATTCGATTCTTGTCTCTCAACATTGAACCAAACGTTAACAGCAACTTAGCTAAAAACTGGTTTTGTTAGATTCAATTGGACTGGATTTTTGTGTGCTATGGTGCACTGGCACTATTTCAAAGAACAAGTCGTGGGATGCCACGTGGAGTTGTTTATTTATCCCTTATAAATAAATTTATGATGCTACTGTTGCATCTAGATTCAGTGCATTTCATCAATGGAAACATTATACGTCAAAGGAGAGAGAGAATTTGACATAAAAAAAAAAAAGAATTTTAGCTAACGCATGATGTTTTCATAAATAAGTTGTACTAAATTTTTGGTACAACAGTAACCTAATGATTTATTTGTCCCGTGAGACATAGAAGTTGCAGCTTCATTGCATTACATTGGGAAATATTGATGACAAAGAATGAGATTGGTGGCGTGGAAAATGGACCCTTATCAAAAGGGAAGAGACACGAGGAAAAATCCCAATGTTTTAAGTATTTTAGTACCATTGGTTTCAGTTTGGGAAATGGAACGAGTTTGCCTTGTCATAATTAGAATAATTGAGTTGATGGGTATTTATTGGTTTGCATTTATTTCTTTTAGGGTGTGTTTATTATAAGCATTTCAAAAGGATTATTGGTAAACCTTCTTTGATCAACGCAATTATCATGTTTGGTAGAAGAAATAAAAATCAGTTCTCGGATATCCAAAGATTACCGGTAATTTAATTTATAAAGAAAAGTCACTATTCAGAATACCAAAAATAATATCGTAATTCAGAATATCAAGTAAAGGAAAAGCACAACAATAATTTTTGAGACAAAAATACCCCAACACACATAAAAGTCTAGACTCAATCTGTCAATTACAAAAGATAAAAATAGTTTAGAGTTGTTTTGTAAAATAACCTCATATTCCAAGTCATATTTCGTGCTAAACCAAACATGGAATCAGTAATTTTTATCTAATATTCCTAGTAATATTTTGGCGAACCAAACACCTTTTTCGTAAGATTCCAAGTAAACTCAATTTCTATTGTATTCCCATTAATCATAATTCTCAAATACCAAAAAATTTCTCTTGTACCAAACACATCCTTATTGTCATTTAGGCGGGGTATTTATTTTGATTCAACTAGCCATTTTGCATTATGCATTATGTACGGTGGATACTGTACGATTATTTTGGCTCTAAACCGAACCATGGACTGCAAATGTACGGCCGATTGTGTTTTCAGTTGTTTGTTTTCAAAATTCATAAAAATATCGTTTTGGAAGTAAATATAAATAATTTATCTGTATTAATTGTAGAAATATTTTTCTAAAATTATGTTATAAAATAGTTTACAGAAACTATTTTTCAGAATAAAAGAAGAAAAAATCTGTTTTATAAAATTATTTTTAAGAGTTTTAATATTAAAAGAAAACAAATTATTTAATAATTTCATTCTGAAAACATGTTTTCGAAGTAAAAATAAAAATAAAAACTCATTTGTTTAGTAAGTTTTTCCTAATTTTATTTCATGATTTTCTTTATTTATATTTAAATTTTTAGATATATATTAATAAAGTAGGAAATTGAAATTTTAAAAAGGAGATCAAACCTTCATTGGTGTGAGAATTATTAATTTTGCATTATGTGGACATTTTCGTTTATATGCAGTCATTTTTTTTTATTTTCCCTTTTAAGATTTTTTTATAAAAAATTACTAACTCCGTTTGGGTTAACTTAGATCCAATATGCTTGGGTTAACTTAAGTTCTCTATGAATCCATTACCACTTTTCTCTCTGTTTTGTATGCTTATCCTTGCAAGTGAATCAGCACCCACTTACAGTGCCTATTACTGAACATATCACGTCTCTGTTCTAAAGATACACAGTTAGTTGATAATCTGGTACAATGTGTGTACGTTGTGTTACTCCGACAGCATTTTTAATAAAATTGTTCTAAGATTTTCATTCAACGATAAAGGAAGCATCATAAACTTGAATCATGACCAACAAATATCGTGGAAAGATAGCTACATGAAATGAGATTGAGTGCCGAGATGGAGGTGATAAGATTTCTCAAAAGAATAAGATAAAATTATGATAGGAGAATACAAACACATTATTTATAATTTTTATTAGTACGTCATTATTTACAATCTTTTTTTTTTTTTTGATAACAATTATTTACAATCTTACCATTAATGAAAAAGTGTTTTGTTTCTTTCAAAATTAAAAATTAGAAAAAGCCAATAAGACGCCCTCATTTGATAAAAAAAAAAAGTAGAAGTTCTTATATCCGACTTAATGTTTAAAGGCCCGTTTGGATGGGTTTTTTTTTCTCTTCAAAAATTATTTTTTTTCAAAAAAAAAAAACACTTCTCACTTAAGTTTGTTTGGATGTCTGCTTTAAAAAGCAGTAGTCACAAAAAAGTCAAAAATCTATTTTTTTTAGAAGCTAAAAATTTTAAATTTTAAAAAAAACAGAAGTCAAAAGGCAAATATTTTTTCAAAAACTGAGTATTTTTATGAAAATATAAATAGTTTTAACTTTTGTAAAAAATACTATTAACATAAGGAAGAGATAAAAGCTACTTTTTCTTGAAGGCGAAACAAATCGGCTCTAAGATGTGTGGACTAAATATATATATATTTTTAAGTTAAAAGTTACTCTTAAGTTAAAATTAATAAAAAAAATTAAAAAAAAATAAAAGTTATTGAGTGATTATATGAAAAATTTAGCTTAAAAATACATATTTCAAGAAAAATTAATAAGAATTTAAAAAAAATTCCTAATAAGAGCTTTGGTTTTTGATTTTTTTCTTTATTATAAATAAAGAGCTTCTTTTTATTATAAGAGATTTTCTCAAAGTTTATTTTTTCTACAGTTACTGCAGATAAGTTATCTGCAGTAAGCCAATACGACGTCATTTTGGGATGGAAATCATGGTGTTTTTGTAATTTTAATTTATTTCAGGGTTATAATAGTCTTTATATTTATAATTTTTTAAGATTTCAATACCAAAACGACGTCGTTTTGAAAATAAATGCAGATAACTTATCTGCATTAACTGCAGAAACATTTTTCCCATATATATATATATGGGGTTTATATTTTTTTATGTAACAGGAAGTATCTTTTCTCATGTTGATGATACAAAAGTCTTGTGGGCTCCACCATTTAAGTAATCAAAAAATAAAAAAAAATAGATGACACGTTTTTTATGTATCAGTAGGAAAAATTTGGCCTCTCCTGCAACAAGAGAAACATATTCCCCATATATATATATAGAGAGAGAGAGAGAGAATATGTCTCTTCAACAGCAGGAAAGAGAAGTTATCTGCAACATTCACATACTTTTCAGGATACGGTTCCGTATCCTGAAAGCATGTGTCAGCTGGAGATAACTTCTCTCCAGAAACAGTAGATTAATAGAACCCCATATATATATATATATATATATATATATATATATATATATATATATATATATGATAGGTTATACTTAACCCTATTTTCGTTTACAACATCTTACAACCATATCTTAACCGTTGATTTTTGTCAATCAACAGTTATCATTTATTGCGAATTAATAATTAATTAATACATTTTATTTGCGAAAATCTTAACGATTGATTCACGGAAATCAACGGTTAAGATATAGGTTGTAAACGAAAATAGATTGTGTTTTCAGTTGTTGGCTATTCAAAATTGTACAGCCTTAATACTATAACTGAAATGCATGTACCAAGCAGTTTGATCAAAAAACTTTTTCATTGCAAAAATAATATGTACAAGGGAACGGAAAAGAAAAATGAATTAAACAGTACTGAAAATAAACTAGCATTTAACAACTAAGATGGTTTTCTCCTTTTTACTACGGACGTCTGCTGTCCTTCTGAGCACCTCCAGCTTCTTTGGCTTCATTAACTTCCTCTTGTGTGAGGGGTCTCCTCTTGAGCTGATCTCTCAATCTCAATACTTCAGCTGTAGGTAGCCATTTCTCAGCATCCTTCAGTAGATCAGTGATTATGGCAACGAGGTAATTGATGGTGGACCTCATCATTGTCCTGCCAGTGCGAATGTGGACAATCTGCCCTTCAACATCCAACAGCCTCATTTCCAACTCATAAATTCTCCCCTCCAAAAATGTTCCAAAGGCTTTGAGCGCTTCTTTGGTTTCTTTTCTTTCTTCGAAATGTTTGAGGAGGAGCTTGCTGAGCAAGTGTTCAGCTCTATGGTTGTGCAAGGACTTGGAAAGTATTAGGGAGTCAGAAGCTCTTCTGATTTCTCCCTTGACAGCTTGAAGTGTTGATGCATAAGAGGCAGCACTGGTTTCCTGGATGGTTGTCCTAATGCTACTGAGTGTTGTTCTCTCTCTTCCTTCTGTTGTTCCTGGAAGTTGTTGAAGGAAGAAGAGAGTTAGTCCAATCCGTCCCTTAGGGTTTTCAGCTCTTCATTGGTGCTTGTCATATCAAGTTGGGGAACTAATTATTTTGCTGGCAACGGCTTTTCTATCCTCTTCCCCATCATTTCAAAGATCTCAGCAATCTCAATTTGTGACTTCTATTTAGTTGGGAGGGGGATTGCTGTAACAGGGGAGGAAATGGTCTGTTTGCTATGCTGGCTGCTGCTAACAACAGGAGGTGCAACAGGTGTTGGTCTGGGCTCATCTTCTGATGGTCTAGATGATGAGGGAATTGTTTCAGTGGGTTCCTCCATCAGTGGAGGAACTGCCATCCCTTCTCCCTTTGCTAGAGCTCTAGCTAGAGCCTCGTCCCCGGTGGTGTCAGGACGGTTAACAAGATACAAGAGGGGGCCTCCCAGATTGATTTGTCTGGGAACGGATGGCTTTTTCTTTTTTTTAGGGGATTCCACAAGAATCCCTTTTCCTTTGTTATTTTTCTTATGTGGCTGAGCTTCTTGCTCAGCCACTGATGTTTCTTCAGCAGGAGCTGATTCCTTTTCTATTCTCTCATCTCCTTGTTGTTGCACAGGAGAAGGCTGTGGTGTGATAGATGTTGGTGGAGAGTGAACAGGTCGTGGGGACGGAACGTCAGAGAATGTAGTGTCAAAGAGTTGCATGCAAAGAAATTAATGTGATTGAAATGGTTTAAGATTTTATAATGAGATAATTGAATGGAAAAGTAAGCCAAATGTTATAAACTGTGAAGGGTTGTAAGAGCACCAAGGGATTGCTGGTCCTTGAGTGCCACCCATGTCTATTAGGTACATTTGAGGTTAGATAACACACCTTTAAAGGTGGGATTTATTAGAAAAACAAAGGAAACTCTGACGAAATTTCTAGAAATTGGCAGAATTTAGGTGAACTTTGGGAGAGCATATATCCCTCCACAGAAGTGAAATGGGGACGTTCCATACGCCGTTTTAAAGCTTGAGATGTCCTCTACCTTGTGTTAAAATTTGAGAATTTTCTGGGTTGCATGCAGCCCTGTAGAAGCCCGAGAGATGAGACTGTTCAGAACGCACCTGTGCAGGGGCTGTTTCTGGCAGTTTTTGGAAATTTTATTCCCGCTTCGTTTCTTGGTCAAATTAGGTTCATGATATGTAAAATTGAAGCTTGAGGTGTCTATTTTACTGCATAAAAATTTGAGAGCAATCGGTTGAGTGGATTTTCCAGAATCATTGAGAGAGTAAGGACTGTTTGGAGCCTATTTGAGGTTGGCTGGCAGATTTGTTTGTCCAACTTCAAACGGCGATATCCGGAGCAAACGAGAACTTTATGACTCGTGTGATAGCTCATTGAAAGATAATTAAGTTTAGAATAAAATACTAAAAGATGAGAGGTTCGCGGTATGTGGATTCTTCGCAGTAATTAAAAGTCCGAACCATGTTCGGATATGTAGAAAATGTAAAAGTGAGATTTAGGCTAATTAGGTTTATGGGAACCCCTTAGTGATTTAAGAGAGGTAATATATGTTATGTAAGTAGTTTAAATAATTATTCCGTGAAGAGTTTACAGTTACGATCACAGTTTTTAATTATTACGCTTTATTATTGTTTTAAATACTCGCGTAATAAAACGGAAAAAGTTTACTCGCTTTTTTATAATGTGATTTTAACTGCGCTTAATATCATAATCAATGTTAACAATACCGGTACGTAACGGGCTGTTACAATCACATCCTCACTTCTCCACAACGAGCATGTGGATCCTAATGCTCCTCCACTTTGTGAACAACTACATACACCTACTAATGCACGTACTCTCTTACAAAGTGAAATATTGGGCAAAAACTGTTAGTATCTCATCTTTTTCTTTATTAGAGAGTATTTTTCACTGATATATACTCTTAAGACATGTTTGGTATACAATATAAGATAAGACCTGATAGTATAAGATTTGATAGTATAAACATTAATTGTATAAGATTTGATTAAATTTTAATACTATCCAGCATTTGGTATTATAATATATAAGATAATATCATCTAGTGTTTGGTAATGCAATGTAAAATACTAGATTGGGTAAAAATAAATATTTTTGATAAAAATACCCTTTATTAAAGAATTTATATAATTCTTCCAAATATGACATATGATATTAATTTTTATATAAATCTATTCATTGGTGTCGAAAAAATAGATTAATATTGAAAATATTGATTTATTTTTTATTTTTTAATGTATTAATATTAAAATAATGGATTCATTTTTTCTTCCGTCAAAGTAGTAAGTTGTTTACAATGAGCCCAAAACGACGTCGTTTTAAGGCAAAAAATTAAGGTATTTTTGTAATTATGTCAATTATAATAGTCTTTCTCATTATATTTTTTTTAATTTTTCAACCGACGTCACTGTAGAAACATTAAAGCTTAAAATAATATATTAATTCTTGAGAATTACACTGGTCAATGACGTTAATGCATCAATATCTTATCAGGTCTAATATCATTCCCTTATACCTGATTAAGTTATACATCATTTTGATATATTGAAAGTTTTTAAGATATACATCATTTTGGTGTATTGGAAATTTTTGCTATACAAGCTTATACTAAACGATGATCACGCCAAATAACTAAAAATGTCATAAAGTAAAATACAAATTTATATATGAGACCTTATATATCACATCAAATAGGCATTTGGATGCATCCATCAATTTTATGAACTGTTATTTTAAAAGTCAAAATCTTGATATTATAAATAAAATTAGTTTAAAGTTATAAACAACTTTCATTACGATACAATTAGATATTAATAATTCGGCAGAGTCGTTTGTCCAAAGGAATTGCTGGCAAGTAGGATAGATAATTGCGAATTCTCCTCGTTCTGGTTCGGTTCATTTGGACAATAATCATTTGTTCTTATTATCTGGGGCAGGACAGGGGAGTCGCCATATGGGCCAGAATAAACCTGGGTGTAGCAATGGACTCGTACCCGAGTAATATTTTAGGGTGCGTTTGGTACAAGAGAAATTTTTATTTGTCCGGGAATCTCGATTTTTAAAAATATAATTTTTACATCCAGTTTACGATAATATCCGAAAATTTAAAATTTTAAAAAAATCAGTTTCCCGAGAATCCTAAGATTATCCACGTACCAAACGGCCCCTTAAATCCGTGTTCATTAATCCGTTCCTCTCCCTCCAACGGCCTATTCATGGTGTGAAATGTGAATAGTGAAATTAGTTTTTTTTTTTTTGTTATAACTCAGAGGATATCTCATTCAACCTCCTCCGATTATTTTGTTCTCGAAATACTGCCCGAAAGCTACCTTTTATAAAACAATTGATGCATTAAACTTTGCTACCGAAAGAAGATGAGACTAATCCATTTTGAAGGAGATAGCAAATCCTCTTAAATTAGTTTTTAAATTGAATCACGTAAATTTTGAGAAACATGATTTGCATCCACTAAATTAGTTTTTGAATCAATAATATTAAAAATTAATTTAACTAATAAAAATCAGTGATTCAACACCATGAATCCTGCTCTAAATATTTATTAAAAGATTCAAAAAGGAATTTTAACAACTGAACGCAGTCATACACGCTCGCTGTTATAAAAGAATAAAAGTGAGTCACAGTGGGTTGACGATGATGTGATTGTGGCAAATTGTTTTAAAGAACAATTTTGCTTCTTTGAAGGGCTGATTTGTAATTCCAATATAGAAAGCATGTTCCATTCCAATATTCCAATATATATAAATTCAGAGACTCCGAGAGACCATAATTCAATTCAGTTTCACAGCCACATTCGATTTCGTTGGCTGTTTTGTCTTGTCGTTTTTAGTTTCCACACGAAGTCGTTTCACTCACTTACTTAAAATGGGGGACGTCGACGGCAACGTGCTCGCCGCAAACTCGCTGGCGAAATTCGGCGTCGAACACATGTTCGGCGTTGTTGGAATCCCGGTGACGTCACTCGCCAACCGCGCCGTCTCTATGGGCATCCGATTCATATCCTTCCACAACGAGCAGTCCGCCGGTTACGCCGCCTCCGCCTACGGCTACCTCACCGGCCGTCCCGGCGTTCTCCTCACAGTCTCCGGCCCCGGCTGCGTCCACGGCCTCGCCGGACTCTCCAACGCCATGGCCAACGCCTGGCCGACAATCATGATCTCCGGGTCATGCGATCAAAACGACGTCGGCCGCGGCGATTTCCAAGAACTCGATCAGATCGAAGCCGTTAAGCCCTTCTCCAAATTCTCAATCAAAGCCACGAACATAACCGAAATCCCCAATTGCGTTGCTCAAGTCCTCGATTGGGCCGTGTCGGGTCGACCCGGTGGGTGCTACTTGGATATTCCCTCGGATGTGTTGCACCAGAAGGTATCCGAGTCGGAAGCCGAGACCCTCTTAACCAAGGCAGAGAAAAACCGTAGAAAAAACGGAACTTTTACTGTTCAAGGTTCAAAGATTTCGGAAGCGGTTTCGCTTTTGAAACATGCTGAGAGGCCTTTGATTGTGTTTGGGAAAGGAGCAGCATATGCTAGAGCTGAAGAGCCTCTGAGAAAACTAGTTCAAACTACTGGGATTCCGTTTCTTCCAACTCCCATGGGGAAAGGGTTGTTGCCCGATACTCACGAGCTTGCTGCAACTGCTGCTAGGTCTCTTGCTATTGGGAAATGTGACGTTGCGCTTGTGGTTGGTGCGAGGCTTAATTGGTTGCTTCATTTCGGGGAATCACCGAAGTGGTCTAAGGATGTTAAGTTTATATTGGTGGATGTGAGTCCCGAAGAAATTGAGCTCAGAAAACCTTATCTGGGTTTGGTGGGAGATGCTAAACACGTTTTGGAGATTCTGAATAAAGAGATTAAGGATGACCCCTTTTGCTTGGGGAACACTCATCCCTGGGTGCAAGCTATATCCAATAAGGTTAAGGACAATGTGTCCAAGATGGAGGCTCAGCTTGCTAAGGACGTTGTGCCCTTTAATTTCTTGACGCCAATGAGGATTATAAGAGATGCCATTCTGGGTTTGGGAAGCCCTGCTCCTGTATTGGTTTCGGAAGGTGCCAACACCATGGATGTGGGTCGCTCTGTGTTGATTCAGACGGAGCCCAGGACGAGGTTAGATGCAGGGACTTGGGGGACAATGGGAGTTGGTCTTGGTTATTGCATTGCGGCAGCAGTGGCTTCTCCTGGTCGACTTGTTGTTGCGGTTGAAGGGGATTCTGGATTTACATTTAGTGCTATTGAAGTTGAGGTAGATGCTAAACTCATGCCTGTGCTTATCTACTTAAGCTGCTATTCTGCTATAAATTCTAATCTAAACTCTCTGACTGTGTGTTTTATTTCCCTTTTGTTGTCCTATGCTGATTGCATTCCTTAGTGGATATTAATCTCGAGTTTTAAGGAGGGAAGGGAAACATTGTAAAAATATAAGAAAAATCCTATCCATTGTGTAAAATCTCCATAAGGCTTAGATAATCCATATGTTTGATACGGCTCTGGATTTTTGAGAGATAAGAGTTGTGGCGATTGGGTTGGGAAAGAGGAAAGAAAGGAAAATGAGACAAAAAGAAATGCGTTATTGATGAAATACTAATGAACCGATACAAGAGGAAATCCTCTTCACAGGGGGAATTTTCCCTTCACACTGAAAATATCTCAGTGTACAACACAATTCTCAAAAGATGCCTCTCTACACAGATAGAGACCCTTATATACATCTCCCAAACTTCCCCTTTAAGCCTGACTTTATCACTCCCTAACCAAACCCTCCAACTTCTCTTACAAATGTTATCAACTGCCATGCATCCTAATTACAACTCATAACTATCCCTAATTGCTACTTAGGTATATTCCTTTGAGAATATACCCTCTAAGCCGATCCCAATCACAACAATGTTCTCCTGTGATAGATGACGTAACAACCCAGAAACCAAGACCCATCTTAGATCGCCACATGTTGTAGGGATTTTTGGTGGAATAGATATTTGACTGGCGTTCCTAATAGTAAATGGATTTGTTGCTAGTGGCAAATATTTATGCCTTCTTGTCCTTGACGTTGGAAAAAGTAATTAACAGGCATTTTCTGAACAGTAGCATCTTAGTGCCCATTTTTTATGTCGATGAGAGAGTAAAAACCCGTAAGATACAAATCTGAGTTATGTAGCTTTTTGCCTTGAGTCAAGGGATTTGATAGATGGAAGGCTTACCACTAGACCAATTCTATTTGTTGGTTATAATGCTCATAATTTTATATTTATTATATAAATTTAATTTAACCGGTTCGACAGTTACCCACTGGTTGACCCATTGACCCGGTACCTCAACCTAGTCAATGACCAGTCCGAGTTTAATAATATTGTCGAGCATGACCACAAAAGCAGCAAAGCTCTCCCTATCAAGTTTTTAATACAGCTGCATACCCGAGACTTGAACTCGACATCACTGATTAAGATGGAATAATCTTTGTTGATTCACGTACTTAGTGGTGGACTTTTTCCTATTTAGGTCTTGACTTTTCCCAAAACATGAGAAGTTTTATATCTCTTGTTCAAAGCTAGAAACTAAGGAAAATAATTTTCTTCAAGTTTGGAATATCTTGCATGTGGGTTTTAGTTGATGCAAATTATTATCATTACTATATGTAAATTCTATCGATTGATAGGATCATATGGTTGCATATGCTTTTGATTTTATTTGTTATGTTATTATTGCAATTGATTTTCTGAATACAAGCATACCTTAGTGACGCTTTATCATTTATCCAGACATTGGTTCGGTACCAGTTGCCTGTGGTTGTGATTGTTTTCAACAATGGCGGTGTATATGGTGGCGACCGTAGAGGCCCAGAAGAGATAAATGGACCTTACAAAGATGATCCTGCCCCCACATCTTTTGTCCCTAATGCAGGGTACCATGCTTTGATAGAAGCTTTTGGTGGAAAAGGCTATCTTGTTGGGACACCTGATGAACTCAAGTGTGCTCTTTCAGAATCCTTCTCTGCTCGAAAACCAGCCGTAATAAATGTTGTCATTGATCCCTATGCCGGTTCAGAGAGTGGGAGGCTGCAACACAAGAATTGATTTATCTTAATTCCCAGATTCTCTATAGCATACTTTCACTTCATTTGCTGTGGTTTACTTTTTGGTTTTTAATAACACACTAAATTGTACTTCTGTGGTCATTCCTATTTGAATTATCTGCTGTACCATGTTCATCAATGTAAACGTTTCTTCTGGAAAAAATTATGTGATTTAACAAATATGAAGCTACAAGTTGTAACTTGAAGGATGCTACTGAATCTCAATATTTTATCCGTTCTACACGTACATTTTCTGTTTATTTATATTTGTAGGAAATAGCTATCATAGATAGTTTATGATGTTAACTTAAAAATTTTCTTGCTGGTATAATCAAATATACCATAATGAATACCTGGAAGTTACAACTGGGGACTGATTACTTCATATGGAAGGATTAACATTTGTAGGCATTGACTATAGTCTGTAACATGTTCTTTTATCATGCAAAGGAGAAAGTCTCATAAGTTATTAGATGAAGTTTATATTTGTTCAGTGTGCTAATCGAACTGAGAAAGTCTCCAACAAAAATATAGCAAAAAAATTAATAGGTGAGCATACCCACAAGCCACAAAGTTGGCTTTTACAACTCTGTCTGTTTTACTTTACTTTAAATTAAAGGTATATGCTTTGTTTAGATCTAATGAGAAGAAGAATATTGTGAGTGGAGTGAACTACTCATGCTAGGTTGGGTTGTTCAACTGGAGTTGTAATTGGTACATGCAATTGTTTGTCATCAACGTCATCTTTAAATCCCAGCGGGTATACTAATTTATAGTTAATTGCTCATGTTTTGAATTAAGGTCTCCATTTTTTACATAGGCCTCCTCCGGGTTGTTGGTGTTTCGGGCCAGGGCTTGTTGGGTTTTGAGATGGGCCTCAAGATAGGTTGAGCCCAGTTTTTAAACCACGTAGATCAAACCCAAAAACAAGTGTAGGCCTATGTAAAACAAATCATGGTCAATTTCCAGACTGAAGACATATTGTTGACTAGAAGAAAACACCCGAGACTATGGCTAATTTTTTTAATCTTGTTTCTGTTTGAGGTTGGCCAACACATATGTTGTTCATGGTGTGTATATATATATGGGGTCGCTTTTTCTGCAGTTACTGCAGATAAATTATCTGCAGTAAGCCCAATACGACGTCGTTTTGGGCGGAAATCATGGTGTATTTGTAATTTTAATTTATTTCAGGATTATAATAGTCTTTATATTTATAATTTTTTAAGATTTCAATACCAAAACGACGTCGTTTTGAGAATAAATGCAGATAAGTTATCTGCATTAACTGCAGAAACATTTTTCCTTATATATATATATAGAAGTTTATATTTACAAACTTTTTATTTACAAACTCTTACAAATTACACTAAGTATGATCGGTCATACTTCAATTAAAAATGTATGATCGGTCATACTTAGTATAATTTGTAAAAAATTATTTTACCATGTATTTGTCATTTAGTTATAAACGTCTTAAATTGTGGGCATAAGAGTTGCTTGTATTGCAAATACAGAGTTCGAGAAATCAATTTTAATGTTGGGTTTTATAAGAGTTATGTTGTAGGAAAAGTGATTGTGTAATGTTATAGAGATTCGTTTTGCGTGCCTTAATTTTTTATTTATTTTTTTGTTTTAAAAAGTGTGGGCCCCACAAAATGTTGTGAGTGTAGGAAAGTTTGTTGTGTTATGTTAAAGGATAAAATGAAAACCCTTTAATGTTTTATCTTCATGGCAAACTTATCAGAAAAGGAAAAAAAAAAACTATTTTATAAAGTTTATAAACTACTTTGACTTTAGCACCTACTGATTTCAGGTTTTTAAATTCGATGCCTTTAGGTAGTGTTTGGTTGGGGAGAAATTTTTTTAAAGTGAGTAGTTGTCTTTACTAGGAAAGACGTTGGAAAGTGAGTTTGGTAGGAAAGTTAAAAAAAAGTTGTTTGGTTGGACAAGATTTTACCAGGAAAATTGAGTAAAATTTTTGAAAGTGTGTTTGGTTGGAGATAAAATATTGTTGGATAAATTTAGAAAAATTACAAAATAACCCTTATTTGAAATAACCCTTGTGAACATGTGGTTAAGAAAGAGGGGTATATTTGTCATACCATTTTCAACCTTTTTCACTTATCTGATACCCTCAACCAATACCACCTTTTCAATCGGCTTCTTCAATAGTGTCGATATCAAATTTTTACACTTCTTCTTGGATTGCAGGGGAAACCTGTTTGCTGGGAAAAATTTTCACAAAACTTCAACCAAACGTGGTTGGGTCAGATTCCCACATGCACTTTGCCACCAAAATTTTAACTTCTCCCCAACCAAACACTACCTTACTGTGTGCATTTCGCTAATATTTTTCAAACATTTTGCATGAACTGCATTTTGTAAATATGATTTCAGTTAATTTAATTTTTTATTTTATTTTATGAGGTTTTGTTCTTATTTTTAAAATATGTATCAATTTTCTCTATGTATTGAATTTGTATTTTCTTACAAGTCTTTTGGTCATAATCTCACATATAATATTGCAACAACCAGCTTAAACTTACTTTTCACACTTAAATCAACCCTTATGGCTAAGTAATTTATATTGTTGAAATACTATTGTTAATATTACCTTTGCATGTATAATTTAACAACAACAAAAAGTTTCATGATTTGTGTTAGGTTTAAATTATTTTTTAGATCAAAGATACATTCAGTGTTGGAGGTTATGAGTTTGAGAGAGAAGTGTTTAGAGGTGCTTGAAGTATTACACCAAGAGACATCAAGTCTGGAATGTTCAACAATGTTACCTCCAGCTTAGGAAACCCTAGATATAATGTAAGCTATTGGGCTCCAGCCCATATGGACCCAAACAACCATGTTTTTACCTATTGGGCCTATATGTGAACATATTATTGGATTATATTATTAATATATCCAACAATCTCCTTCTATGTTCACCATACAGCACAATCCAATAGAGTGATCAATATAATGTTCAAACAAATATGAATCATTCATATCCAGTCCAAGACAATTAACTCGGATCAATCAAAGAGTTTTAACGGTAAAATATTAAACTCAATCGTTATTTTCAATCTAAATAAATAAATCACCATTATCATGAATCTGTTCTAAGACCAACATACAAAATAAATATTTAGAGTTTTAGATTCAATCTACACTCATCCAAATCCCAACATCCAAAATAAGTATCAAAACTAGTTCACAATCAACAATGTTCATAAATAAAAGATAGTAAAATGTAAGTCTCAAATAAATGGACTCCATCAAAATGAGCAATAGCGGGTGAACTGTCAAATCCCCACTTATTCTAAATGATATATTCATTCATCATGGAGGTGATCGTAGTCAAGATCCCTCTCATTAAGCTCTCCTCCATCTCTGTCATCCTCTGTAGAATATCAAATATGAATTTCATATTATTATGAATTCAATCGGTTGAATAATCTACCAAAGATGTCTAGTTCTACTAAAAGAACTTAGCATCATATCATCAGGCAAAGAAGAACATATATTAATGTCAGAAAGCATTGTAATATAATGTTCATAAGCATCAAGCAAGTTTCATAATTTATGAACAAGGCGTAAACAGTTTGTTTTGCAAATAGTCATCAACTTTAGTTTATTTGTAAGAGAATAAACATTGTCTAGTTTCAATTAACAGGACCAATAGTCAAGTCACTTACAATAACCTGGTCATGTGAAGTCAAGTTTCAATTAAGAACAAGACCCACAGGCTTCTTATGCAAATTACTATTTCAATTGTAAAGAACCTTGGGATACACCACCCCAAAAGCTAGCTCAAAGGGTGAGAGTGTCCAAGACCTTATAAACTCCACATTAGTTGCACATACAACCAATGTGGGACTATATATCTCAACACGCCCCCTCAAACGAGAGCCCTTTGGGCTTGAAGCGTGGACAATGCAACAGGCCCATCCTACCTGTGCTAAGAAACTCCACAAGAGAAAGTGGGGGACGGCGAGGCTCTGATACCATATCCCAAGGTTCTTTACATAGTATCAGAGTCTCGCCGCCCCCCACTTTCTCTTGTGGCGTTTCTTAGCACAGGTAGGCTGGGCCTGTTGCATTGTCCACTCTTCAAGCCCAATGGGCTCTTGTGTGAGGGGGCGTGTTGAGATATATAGTCCCACATTGGTTGTATATGCAACTAATGTGGAGTTTATAAGGCCTTGAGCACTCCCACCCTTTGAGCTAGCTTTTGGGGTGGTGTATCCCAAGGTTCTTTACATCAATGTTTCAATTTGGAATGTCACAATTACCGATTCCTCAAATTCAAATAATCTAGCATCAAGTTTGGAATGAGATCATTTAACCAAAAGGATGGTCCAACCTAGTTAGATTGTATCAACAAGTTTGGAACAACACAAGTTTCCCAGGAAGAACCTTTGAATCAGGTTCAAGTTATCTTCATCAAGTATGGAATGAGACAACTTACCTTTTCCAAAGTAATCAACTACCAGCATCGATGAAACATATAAATAGTGCTTATCATTTTGGCTAACAAAAGAAAGATTCGATAATTCAAAACACACAATTAAAAGGTAAGTAAATGGTAAGTAAGACTTATCTATATAGTTTTTAACCTCATTTCCTCCACTGTTTTGAATAATCGATCTTTAGGCATATCTTTTTGTGAGAGCATCAACCAAGTTATCCTTTGATCTCACATCGATCAAGGTGATAACTCCTTGTTTTCTCAGATAATTCAACAACACATGTCTCAATCTTATATGTCTTCTCTTTGAGTTAAACAGAGCATTTTTAACAACTTGGACAACTGCTTGATTATCACAAAATAGGCTTAAAGAATAAATCTTTAGCCGAGTCAAAGAAATATCTATAATCAGATTCTTTACCTACTTTTCCTCTTCACCGGCTAAGGCTAAAGTAAAAAGTTATGATTCCATAGACGACAATGCAATACAAGTATATATTTTGGATTTTCAAGAAAAATAGATCCATCCAAAGTGAATACATATCCACTGGTGAACTTACTAAAGCATAGTCAATACAACTTACAACATATATGAGACTACCAATCAATTTTGAATACTTTAACTGATCCACACTGGTCCCTTCATGAGGACTCAGTCTTTTATTATAATCATATGGTGTCTCACTCAGAATATCAAATGATTGCATTTTATAATATCAAAGGAACTACATTTAGCCATTTTAATTAGAGCTAAGAGTTAGAAAGAG